ATCAGACTCGTAGTTTCTTGTTTTTGCTGGGGACCCGGGTAATTTACCGCTCCCTCCTGCAGTCTTCCCCTATTAACATTTAAAATGATTCTGTAAATCCGTGTATCAATAGAAACAATCTCTGCCTCTGCCAGCTGCAGTAAATGTAGTCTCCAAATAATAAGAGGTGCATTCATCTGTGTATCTCCTTTGATCCACATTAGTGATATTTTCAGCACCAGAACAGTGAAGCAAAGAAAGATTCCTGAGTTTGTTAGTAATTTTATTTATTAGGTGCATCTAACCTGTTCTATTTTTCTCTGAAATGAGATCAAATCAGTGCTTCTATGGGTTGTCTCCAATCTGCACTGGAAAATTTTACTTTATTTAGAGACTTGTTGCAGAAAATATTCAGAATGCGCAGTTTTTTGCTACCACAAGCGATCTCTTGTCCAGCCGCACATCAGAGCCGTATTTGAGCTTAACTATCCACTACATGAGCAACTGGGAGCTACATAGTATTTTTAACAAGTTAATGTTTGCACAATACATTTGCAATTGACATGTTTGCACTTTAAATATGTTTACGATTTTAATTTATGTTAAGTTACTTGAAAAACGAGAAAAACTGATTTTTGTAATTGTTTCTCTCAGGGCTTTTATCATCTCTGGTGTGAGTTTAAAATATAAGTGTGTTAGCACTGTGCTGATTATCCCTAATATGAATAAATGTTTATTTATTCAATGTTTCTCTTCTTTAATACGCAATTGAAGTTATGCTATTCATGGATAAAAAATCGTGATAAAATCGAAATCGTGATAAAATATTGGAAAAATCGTGATATTCTATTTTTGCCATATCACCCAGCCCTAGTTAGACTACCGCTTACTTGCTTCAAATTTAAGGAATACCTCGACTGATGCGGAGTTGAGTTGGTGAACTTTTCACAGACAAGTAAGTCTCTAAAATATAAATATATGAGAACACAACATGACATGAGAATAATACTCGTAAAACAACGTGTTTTAGCGCTGTTGGTCGGCTACAGAAGCACATTTATAAACAGACACATGAAGTCGCCATCTTAAACAAACAGAGGAATAGACTTTTTGTGTGATATGCTTGTCAGCCACTAGATGGTGCCATTGGATAAGAGAAATACTCCAGAAAGCAGCTAAATAAAATGTGTCACAAATGTAAATTGTTTACTCAGATTTCAAGTTAAAAATATCTTTTTTCAGGATTAACACAGATTAGAGACGTGTTCATATTATTATTTTTTTTAAAAAAAAACCTCAAAAATTAATCATTTACTTCCTCAATTTACAGTTGTGACAACAGGGCGTGCAAATCCCCGCAGCCATGCTTCCTTCAGCAAAACAGGTTTTGGGAGAAATTCAGTAGGCTCATACTCAGGGTCCGAAATAAATTTTTTTACTCACTGGCCAAGTTGGCTGGTAGATGATGAAAATCTACCGGCCAAGCATATTTGTTACCGGCCAAAATTCTAAATGATTTAGATCTACCTAAAGCATGTTATTCTATATTATGTTGATTCCAAACAGAGTGACAAAATAATTAAAACACCAATTAATAAGAAAAACAACTCTTTTGTCATTTTTACTATTTATTGATTTATTTTTAGAGATGTTTTTATGAACTCTTTCATTGAAATCTAGTCAGACTCCTTGTTTTCTCTGTCCATGAAGTCTGGCCTCCTGCTTCTGACACCGTCTTTGTGCCAAAGCATTACAGCCTCATTTGGGTCCTAGTCCTTGATCTCTGGAGAACACAGCTGCACCGTGAGAATATCTGAAATTGTGTCAGGGCTAGGGTTGTCACGGTAACCGGTGTAGCGGTAAACCCCGGTAAAAAAGTTGACAATAATAATAACCGTCTTGTTTAAAAAAAAATATATATATTACCTCAGTGGATTACCGTGGCTGCGGTGTAGGCGCTGTGACCCTTACCAGCCACCGTATCATCTGCTGAAGTTGCCGGCTGCACATGCGCGCTTTGTTGTTTACGACCAAAACTTTCTTTAAGCTAAAGCTGAAATAATGGGCAGAGGAGACGGCAGCACTCGGGACATTTATTATCCCTCAAAGAAGACGAAGTCGGAAGTACGGGCATTTTTTGGATATTTGAAGAATGCCGAGGGACAGTTTATAGAAGACGGCTATCCTGTTTGCAGCACAAGCAGAAAAGTGTCTGAGAAAGGCAGCAACACTACGTTGCCATCATAATGCAGCCATTGTCTCACGACTCCGCCATCTCCAGTTCGCCACTTTTCACAAAATCTTCTGGTTGCCACTGGTCCTGGTGGTTTTTCTTCCAGTTCGACGAGTTTTCCTTTGGAAGGCTGGCTGAGTCCAGTTAAAAACCGCCACATTTCACCGCTAGTTTCAACACGAAGCCAACTGCTACCTTGATGAACTGATTGAATGGGATCGGCGGAAATGACGTTGGATGTGGCGCTCACGTTTCGCGTACGTTTGTGTACGTTGCATGCAGGCGGGAGGAGTATCAGAAATCCATGGAAGATGACTGATAAACATAACTAATTTGGTGCAAACGTTTACTCGCCATGTGGCAGATAGAACTCAAAATTTTACTCGCCAAATGGAGCAATTTGCTCGCATTTGGCGAGTGTTAATTTCGGACCCTGCTCATACTGCTCAGCTCTCTAAAGCGAACCAGCTCTTTCGGCTCTCAAATGGTTTCTAACACTTTTTGCTTTTTTAAATAAAATTGTCACTGGAAATTAAGGAAAATTTTGTGTAACATGAATTACTAATCTACAAATACACATCGCATGTTTATTATTTAAACATCTTATTTTATTCAACAGGAAACAGAGTTAAAAAGAAATTTTAAATGGCAAAAAGAAAAAACTGTAAGTAAACAATTTATCAACTTTGAACTAGAGCCTGCTGGATATATTTTCCTTTTGCATATTCCACTCTTCACTTTTGAATTGGGATGTAGGTGTCACTATATTCTCTTTTCTGTTTATACATGTCAAAAGCATCATTTTTGAACATTGTCACATACCAAATGACTTGCAGCAAAACAACTATTTTTTAAAAATATAAAATTCCACTTAAAGAGCAAGTAATGTCTAAATTAACTTGTTTTTGCTGATAACCTGTATAGATGAGTGTCTAATAGTGCTGTAAACATGTGTATTCATTAGTGTGGCAGTTTAGTGCAACTTACTTTAAATTTGATATTTCAGCCCAAAACCATAATTATATCACAGGTTAAAAACTCTGCTCCACATTTATGTAGAACCAGCTGTGGTTGATGGCTAAGCTGAAAAACCTGACGCTGTCAGCAAATTACTACTTGGCTGTACTGCACTGGTCTAGCAGTGAGGTAGGGGGACAATCTTAAAGTCTGGTTGAAGCCAACGTACAGTAGCATTTTAGCTACTTTCTGTGCTCAGTCGCATCCAACAGCAAAGCAATAAACAATTGTCCAAGCTTGGATTCAAGAGGACCAATGTGGTTTTTGTCCTGGCCTTGGGATGCTGGACCAGCTCTATACCCTAAGGGGAGTCCCAGAGGATGCGTGGGAGTTCACCCAACCAATCTATATGTTTTGTGGATTTGGAGAAGGTGTTCGACCGCGTCCCTCCAGGGACCTTGTGGGGGGGGGTAATCCGGGAGTATGGGGTACCAGCCACCTTGATACGGACTGTTAGGTCCCTGTACAACTGGTGTCAGAGTCTGGATTGTCTTTGCCAGCAGGAAGTTGGACTCGCTTCCGGTGAGAGTTGGATTCCGCCAAGGCCGCTCTTGGCCACCGATTCTATTCAGAATTTTTATGGACAAGATTTCTAGGCACTGTCATGGTGGTGAGGGGATCCATCTTTGTGGCCTAAAGGTTGGTTTATGCTTGACGCGTCCGCGAGGTTCGCACGGCTCCGCGCGGCGAAATTGCGTCATTTTAACAACCACGCCCCTCCACCCATCCTCCGCACGGCCCAAAATTCCCGCACCGCGCACCTAGGAAATTTTCTAACCACGCAGACGGTCGGATGCGGAAAAACATGGCAGACTGGCAAGAACTAGTATGGCAGAGGTTCGTAAATACAGACATTTGTATGATTCAGCTCTCAGAGATCACCGTGATCAACATGTTGTTAATAATTCTTGGAGAGAAATAGCTCGCACTGTCGGAAAAGACGAGGACACTGTTAAAAAATGCTAGAATGCCATGTTGTAAACAACAGTAATTTTTACTTCTACTATGGTGTAGTGTTGGATGCATGCCGTAGAGCTCCATGCTGCCCCGTTTAGTTTGGGAGAATATTGGCTCACCGCAGAGACGAGCCGCATGAACCATAAACGCTGCGAGTTGTGAAGCGTGTTCCATCCGCGAGCCGCATCACCAAGTGGAAAGTAAATGCGTCAAGCAGAAACCAAGCTTAAGGATCAGGTCTCTCGTTTTTGCAGATGATGTGGTCCTGTTGGCTTCATCAGAGCGTGATCTCCAGCTTTTGCTAGAGCGGTTTGCAGCCGATCGTGAAGTAGCTGGAAGTAGAATCAGCTCCTCTTAATCCGAGACTATGGTCTTGGGTCAGAAAAGGGTAGAATGCCTTCTTCAGGTCCGGGACGAAGTCCTGCCCCAAGTGTAGGTATTTAAGTTTCGTGGGGTCTTGACAGTAGGGCTGTGAAATAGGTATTCATTTTTATAGAAGTGGTCTTGAAAATGTCTTAAAAAGTCTTGAATTTAACTTGATGAAAAGTTTATTTATTTCAATAATTGAACCTAAAAGGTGAAATTCATACATGAGGCAGACTGATTATATGCAAAGTGAGATGTTTCAAGTGGGGCTTTGTGCAAAGAATTTTAATGAACATGTCCTGTATTGACCATCAAAGTGTTATAAGAAAAAAGTCATAATATGTCCCCTTTAACTACAAACGAATACAAACTCTTATGAGCTGTCTGGCTTTGAAGTCTTCTTCCATGCTGTTGAGCTGATGGTTTCTGCTTTACTCTCATCTAACAGGATAACATTTCTCTGTTGCTTAAGCGTGACGAGTGATGGCAGAGCGGCCTTTGACAGACTGGGACAGTGGTCTCTTTGACTGCTTTGAGGATCCAGGCACTTGTAAGACTCAAACGTTTTAATTTGAACTTTCATTTTTAATTTGATTTTAATTTAATCTCCTAAAATCACCTAATCCAGATCATCCCATGTTTTACAGGTTGCTATGGTTTCTGGTGCTACCCTTTCCTCCAGTGTACAGTTACAGGAAGATTTGGAGAGAACAGCTGCCTCCCTTTGTGTGACATGTGTTACCGTCTTTACTTTGGATCCTGTTGGGTACCTGTAATTGTTCCTCCTGTTGCTTTGACTGTGAGGTCTTTAATGCGGAAGGAATATGGCATCAAGGTATGAAAACATCAGACCTCTCCATTATAATGTGAACAAATAGCTAACATGTTCACTGTGCTCTTTTACAGGGCTCTCTCGTTAGAGACATAATGGCTTCCTGTTGCTGTGTGTGGTGCTCCTGGTGTCAGATGCACCGTGAGCTAAAACATCGCAAGAAAACTCCCGTCATCATCAACACGCAGCACCAAACTGTTGTCATGCAGCCTGCTCCGATTTTGATAGCTCCTTCATATTCTCCTCCAGTTGATGTTGTCCAGAAGGGAGATGTTCAGGCTCAGTAATGACGTGTGGCTTTGGAGTTTTTTCTCAGTTCTTGCCACTCTGTTCTTTTGCTTGCCTTATCTATGTCAGTTGATTACGGCTCGCCCTGACCGTTTCACACTTACTCGTTCTTGAACACCCCTGTGTATTTAAACCCTTTGTTTATGACAGTTTTCAGATCCTTTCCATGTTTTTCAGTTTTCTAGGTCCAAATAAAGCAAGTTCAGTTTGTCTGCTAGTCTGCTTCGTCAGGGGTGGGCAACTCCAGTCCTCGAGGACTGCTGTCCAGCATGTTGTTTGTGTCTCTGCCATGAAGAAGAAGAAGAAAGTATCATTTCTATAGCGTGAATAGGAAAGAGGGAAATCAGTGGATCCTGAGGAAGGTGGAATAGGTGGGGAGAGCAGAATAAAGAGAGAGTGGTGAAGAAGGTCATACAAAAGCCAGCTTGAACAAGTGAGTTTTCAGCTGCTTTTTAAAGGAGACCACTGAGTCCACTGATCTCAGGCTCGGGAGGAGAGAGTTCCAGAGTCTGGGGGCCACAGCAGCAAATGATCTGTCACCTTTGGTCTTTAGCCTGGTGCTGCACAACCAGTAGGCTTTGATCACTGGAACTCAGGGACCTGCTGGGGGTGTAGGGACTAAGAAGATCACCAATGTAAGATGGTGCTTGTCCATGTAAGGCCCTATAGACCAGAACCAGGATCTTGAAATGAACCCTGAAGCTGACTGGCAGCCAGTGAAGCTGGAGAAGTGGGGTGACATGGGTGTGTTTGGAGGACTTGGTCAGAAGCCGAGCACAGGCATTCTGAACCACCTGTAGACGGTTCAGGGAGGTTCTGCTCAGACACTTGAAAAGAGAGTTACAGTAGTCTAAGCATGAGGAGATGAAGGTGTGGAGAACAGTCTCAAGTTCAGAGCGGGACAGAATGGGACTCAGCTTAGCAATGTTCCTGAGATGGAAGAAGGAAGAGCGAACAAGAGAACTGACATGAGAATCCAGGGTGAGAGCTGGGTCAAAGGTCACACCAAGATTCCTGACAGAAGGTTTGGTGTGGGAAGCAAGCTGACCAGGAGAGTCTCTGACTTTGGGAACCATCTTGTCTGGGGCACAAATGAGGATCTCAGTCTTATCTTCATTCAGCTGTAGAAAGCTCCCAGCCATCCAGGTTTTGATAGAGTCTAAGCAGGTGTGCAACAGCTGCAGCTTAGACATCTCATGGGGCTTGAAGGAGATGTACAGTTGGATGTCATCTGCATAAAGATGGTAGGAGATTCCTTTGAAGGAGCTCAGGATGTGCTGAAGAGGAAGCAGATAGAGGAGGAAGAGCAGAGGCCCCAGCACAGAACCTTGTGGGACACCATGGGTAAGAGAGGTGGTGGAGGACCTAAACTTGGAGACGGCCACAGGCCATGACACACTTGACTTTAATCAGCAGTAGATTGACAAGCTTCTGCAGAGCTTTGTGAGGTGAATCAAGTGAAATTCCAATAATTAACCCTGATAAGGCACACCTGTGTAATAGTAACCATTTCTTAAAGATCATCACAGCAAAGGGTGGCTATTTTATAAAACATGTTTTCAGTTATTTCTCCTTTTGTGGTTAAATACATAACTCCAAATGTGTTCATTCGTAGTTTTGATGCCTTCAGTGAGATTCTCCCAATGTAAACATGAAAACAAGGAAAACACATTGAATGAGAAGGTGTGTCTACAGTCGACATTGCAGATCCCTACGACCTGAAAGGAAACAAACGGAGCTCAGAAGTTTCATTACTGCTGAAAATATATCACTCCAGTAAGCGTAGCGCTACTGCAACATGATTATAATCAAGTAAAAGTAAAATGTAGCCTCCCAGAAACGTTACTCCCACTAACACAGGCACTGCGCCAAGTTTTATTTTCTGGATGGGTCTTAATAAAAGTTATTATCAATATATGTTACACGCAGGTACAGAAACAACACCTGCATCAGAGGCCGTGCTAGACATGGTTGTTTAACAGAGTTAAAAAAACAACCATTTCTCACATAATAATGAATTAAAATTCACAATTTAATTTTTAATTTGTAGTCTAAACAAGCTGTCCAGCATGTCCAGCAACATATTAATGTTACAATGAAATGATTTAACTTGAAGTAGGAATGTTTTACCTGCCTTGTTCTGGTTCTGCTGCTGGGTCGTGATGTTCTGATGGGAATCTTGTCTTGATGTAATTTGTTACCTCTGTGTTCTCTGTGCATAACGTTTAAAATGTGAATGCGTTGGGGTAATTCCAGTCTGTCAGAATGACCAACAGCCTTGAGATTTTGCCGTCAAAATAAACAGTCAAAAATGGAAAATATCCGGTTAACGCGATCCCAGCCTACATTTAAAGTGACTGCGTGTATTTTTCCTGGCAATAGAAGGCAGTGTCATGGTCTGCGTCTGTCTTCCCCATGTGTCTCCTGCTGTCCTCCATCCCTCTCTAGATTCCCTCTTGTGTCTCTTTGTTCCCCAGCTCCTCTTGTGCTCCACTCCATGTTCTCCCCTTGTGTTGTAGCCCTTTAGCGCCCTCATGTGTCCTTGTCTGTATCCCTGTTGGGTGTCTTATGCTGTAGCTCTTTGGCGCCCTCATGTGTCCTTTTTCTGCGTGTCAGTTTAGTGTCTTATGTTTATAGTCCTTTAAGTCTAGTCCTCCCAGGTTTTGTGTCATCTCATTCTTCCCCAGGTCCTCCAGGTCTCGTTTACATTCTGTGTCCTTGTAGTCCCCAGCTTCCTTGTCCCCAGCTCAACGTGTGTGTGTGAGATCCAGTCTCCTGCTCAGTTTGTGTGTTTGTGTGTGTGTGTGTGTTGTTCTGTGTGTGTGTGTGCTTGTCCATTCCCCTTTCCCGTTTATATATTAGTGCCTTGGTGTGTGTGTATTAGTCCTTCCCGCAGCCTTTAGATTTAGTTTTGGTGTCTTAGAGTTTCTTAGGTTTATTTGGCCCTCCTCTGTTTCTGTTTGCCCATTTTGATTATTAGGTTCACCTGTCTTCCCTCCAGCTCTCACTTCACACACCTGCTCCCATTTTCCCTAATCACTTCTCCCAGCGTATTTAAGCCCTGTCTGTCTCTGTGTTCTTGTCGGTCCATTGAATGTTTGTTATTCTGTCAGTCTCGTCTCGTTTGGATTACCAGTGTTCTTTGCCCCTTGGACTTTCTAGAGTTTTTGATCTCCAGAGCTTATCTGGAATTTTGGACTTCTGGCTCGCTGCCTGGATTTACTTTTGTTCCGCCTTCAAAATAAAGAAGTTTTACTTTTTCATCATCTCTGCCTCGTGTCATCCTGGGTAACTGCATATTTGGGTCCTAACATCCTCAGAACGTGACAGAATGGACCGACCAGAACAGGACCCAGCAGGAACTCCAGGTACACAGGAGATGTTCTTTTATGACGGTGATCCAGACCTTTGTATGGGTTTCATTCGGGACTGTGCCCGTTGTTTGGACTTGGAATCTTCAGAGTTCAACAAGGTGTCGTATATGGTGCTCTGGTTGAGGGGTAAAGCCATGCGGTGGGTTGCTGACCGGTTCGACATAGAGGATCTTAAGGCTGTGTCTTTTTGGGACTTTGCTGCATTGCTCCTTCGCACTTTTGGCCGAGATCCTCCTCCACCAGTCGCTGATGCCACCTCAGCATCTCAGATGGGTCACACCGCCACACCCTCACCAGGTCCTGACAGGGCCACCACTTCCTCTCCGATGTGTCACACCGCCACACCCTCACCTGATCCGGACTGCATCAACTCCCCATCTCAGACCATCAGAACCGGATTCATTTCAATCTCTCCTATGCATGTTGATGCCACCTCAGTTTCTCAGATGGAGTACACCACCACACCCTCACCAGGTTCTGACAGCGCCACCACTTCATCTCCGGTGGGCTGTATCACTTCCTCCGCACCTGTTGAAGTCACCCCCGCACCTCCTAGGAGTCGTGCTCATCGTAGACGACAACGCCATCACCAGCACTCTACTGAGGCCAGAGTGGTGCCGCCTATCTCAGAGGCCCCTACTCGGAGACCTGCGTCTGAGTCACACCTCACCTCAGCGGTGGTCCAAGGGAACGCATCGCACCTCGCCTCAGCGGTGGTCCAAGGGGACGCATCGCACCTCGCCTCAGCGGTGGTCCAAGGGGACGCATCGCACCTCGCCTCAGCGGTGGTCCAAGGGGACGCATCGCACCTCGCCTCAGCGGTGGTCCAAGGGGACGCATCGCACCTCGCCTCAGCGGTGGTCCAGGTGGACGCATCGCACCTCGCCTCAGCGGTGGTCCAGGTGGACGCATCGCACCTCGCCTCAGCGGTGGTCCAGGTGGACGCATCGCACCTCGCCTCAGCGGTGGTCCAGGTGGACGCATCGCACCTCGCCTCAGCGGTGGTCCAGGTGGACGCATCGCACCTCGCCTCAGCGGTGGTCCAGGTGGACGCATCGCACCTCGCCTCAGCGGTGGTCCAGGTGGACGCATCGCACCTCGCCTCAGCGGTGGTCCAGGTGGACGCATCGCACCTCGCCTCAGCGGTCGTCCAGAAGCGGACGCCACCCGGCTCGAGCCCCGAAGCAGACGCCACCCGGCTCGAGCCCCGAAGCAGACGCCACCCGGCTCGAGCCCCGAAGCAGACGTACCCGGCTCGAGCCCCGAAGCAGACGTACCCGGCTCGAGCCCCGAAGCAGACGTACCCGGCTCGAGTCCCGAAGCAGACGCTCCCACGTCCCCGGGCCCCGAAGCAGACGCTCCCACGTCCCCGGGCCCCGAAGCAGACGCTCCCACGTCCCCGGGCCCCGAAGCAGACGCTCCCACGTCCCCGGGCCCCGAAGCAGACGCTCCCACGTCCCCGGGCCCCGAAGCAGACGCTCCCACGTCCCCGGGCCCCGAAGCAGACGCTCCCACGTCCCCGGGCCCCGAAGCAGACGCTCCCACGTCCCCGGGCCCCGAAGCAGACGCTCCCACGTCCCCGGGCCCCGAAGCAGACGCTCCCACGTCCCCGGGCCCCGAAGCAGACGCTCCCACGTCCCCGGGCCCCGAAGCAGACGCTCCCACGTCCCCGGGCCCCGAAGCAGACGCTCCCACGTCCCCGGGCCCCGAAGCAGACGCTCCCACGTCCCCGGGCCCCGAAGCAGACGCTCCCACGTCCCCGGGCCCCGAAGCAGACGCTCCCACGTCCCCGGGCCCTGAAGCAGACGGTGCTCCCACGTCCCCGGGCCCCGAAGCAGACGGCGCCCCCTCCGGCTCTGAAACAGACGCGCCCGGCTCTGAAGCCGACGTCGCCCCCTCCTGCTCTGAAGCAGACTCGCCCGGCTCTGAAGCCGACGTCGCCCCCTCCTGCTCTGAAGCGGACATCTCTGTCTCAAGTCTCCCCACACGTGTTCCAGTTCCCCAAGCCTCAAGTGTTCCCATCTCGAGTGTTCAAGTCTCCCAGCCTCCCGAGTCACAAGCCTCCCAGTCTCTAGCCTTCCAGTCACCTCAAGCCCTCCAGTCACCTCAAGCCTCCCAGTCTCTAGCCTCCCAGTCTCTAGCCTCCCAGTCTCTAGCCTTCCAGTCACCTCAAGCCTTCCAGTCACCTCAAGCCTCCCAGTCTCTAGCCTTCCAGTCACCTCAAGCCTCCCAGTCTCTAGCCTTCCAGTCACCTCAAGCCTCCCAGTCTCTAGCCTTCCAGTCACCTCAAGCCTTCCAGTCACTTCAAGCCTCCCAGTTTGACGTTCCCCAGTCTACGTCCCCTCAAGTTCCCCAGGCTGACGTTCCCCAGTCTACGTCCCCTCAAGTTCCCCAGTCTGAAGTTCCCCAGTCTATGTCCCCTCAAGTTCCCCAGGCTGACGTCCCCCAGTCTACGTCCCCTCAAGTTCCCCAGGCTGACGTTCCCCAGTCTACGTCCCCTCAAGTTCCCCAGTCTGACGTTCCCCAGTCTACGTCCCCTCAAGTTCCCCTGTCTGAAGTTCCCCAGTCTGTGTCCCCTCGTAGTCGTGGTCTTTGTCCAGAGTCCCCTGTTGGTAGTGGTCCTGTGTCCCCTCTTAGTCATGGTCTTTGTCCAGTGTCCCCTGTCGGTAGTGATCCTGTGTCCCCTCTTAGTCTTGGTCTTGATCCTGTGTCCCCTCTTAGTCTTAGTCTTGATCCTGTGTCCCCTCTTAGTCTTAGTCTTGATCCTGTGTCCCCTCTTAGTTTTAGTCTTGGTCCTGTGTCCCCTCTTAGTCTTAGTCTTGGTCCAGTTTCCCCTCTCAGTCTTAGTCTTGGTCCAGTTTTCCCTCTCAGTCTTAGTCTTGGTCCAGTTTCCCCTATCACCACACTCCTACAGTCCAGGCTCCTGGTTCCCCGTCGCCGGCCCCCCAGGCTGACACAGTCCAGGCTCCTGGTTCCCCGTCGCCGGCCCCCCAGACTCCTACAGTCCAGGCTCCTGGTTCCCCGTCGCCGGCCCCCCAGACTCCTACAGTCCAGGCTCCTGGTTCCCCGTCGCCGGCCCCCCAGACTCCTACAGTCCAGGCTCCTGGTTCCCCGTCGCCGGCCCCCCAGACTCCTACAGTCCCAGCTCCTGGTTCCCCGTCGCCGGCCCCCCAGACTCTTCTGTTCCCTCCTCGCCCGCCCCTTTTTGGGTTGTGTTTTGTTTGCTCCCTCCTCTCCCTCCCTCTGGTTGTTTCGTGTCTGGTTTTGGTCTTGTCTTTTGCTTGTGGTGTTTGTCTGTCTTATGGTCGTCTGGTATCCGCCCTTAGAGGGGGGGGTACTGTCATGGTCTGCGTCTGTCTTCCCCATGTGTCTCCTGCTGTCCTCCATCCCTCTCTAGATTCCCTCTTGTGTCTCTTTGTTCCCCAGCTCCTCTTGTGCTCCACTCCATGTTCTCCCCTTGTGTTGTAGCCCTTTAGCGCCCTCATGTGTCCTTGTCTGTATCCCTGTTGGGTGTCTTATGCTGTAGCTCTTTGGCGCCCTCATGTGTCCTTTTTCTGCGTGTCAGTTTAGTGTCTTATGTTTATAGTCCTTTAAGTCTAGTCCTCCCAGGTTTTGTGTCATCTCATTCTTCCCCAGGTCCTCCAGGTCTCGTTTACATTCTGTGTCCTTGTAGTCCCCAGCTTCCTTGTCCCCAGCTCAACGTGTGTGTGTGAGATCCAGTCTCCTGCTCAGTTTGTGTGTTTGTGTGTGTGTGTGTGTTGTTCTGTGTGTGTGTGTGCTTGTCCATTCCCCTTTCCCGTTTATATATTAGTGCCTTGGTGTGTGTGTATTAGTCCTTCCCGCAGCCTTTAGATTTAGTTTTGGTGTCTTAGAGTTTCTTAGGTTTATTTGGCCCTCCTCTGTTTCTGTTTGCCCATTTTGATTATTAGGTTCACCTGTCTTCCCTCCAGCTCTCACTTCACACACCTGCTCCCATTTTCCCTAATCACTTCTCCCAGCGTATTTAAGCCCTGTCTGTCTCTGTGTTCTTGTCGGTCCATTGAATGTTTGTTATTCTGTCAGTCTCGTCTCGTTTGGATTACCAGTGTTCTTTGCCCCTTGGACTTTCTAGAGTTTTTGATCTCCAGAGCTTATCTGGAATTTTGGACTTCTGGCTCGCTGCCTGGATTTACTTTTGTTCCGCCTTCAAAATAAAGAAGTTTTACTTTTTCATCATCTCTGCCTCGTGTCATCCTGGGTAACTGCATATTTGGGTCCTAACATCCTCAGAACGTGACAGGCAGGAGATACCTAAATTGTTGCAAGCACGCGGTATTTTCATGTTGGAGTAAGACCTGAGCAACAGATGCCTATTAGGGTCAAAAAGCCATGGGGAGCGCAAACTTCAGCAAAATGACAACCACATCAGACCTCGTTACATCACTGGCAATGAGTGAAGTAGTAAATGTGTAAAACAACATTTAAGAATGGCAAAAGTTTTGTAACCATTTGTTACAAATAAGTAAATGCACTTTGTCCTTATAGGCTCCCGTAGAGGGAAACATGGCATCTAATATGGCGTCGCCCAGAGACTTGTAGCCTCATGGTGGGGGCCATCGGCTTGAACACTGTTGCTAACCACTTAAACATTCTCCCTCTCCTGATAACAACATTTTACTTTCTTTGACATTAAATGTGCTACTACTAGTTTATCCGTTTAATTATAGATTCACTAGGATAAACACAATAAAGTTTATCTCTCACCAAATAGAATATTTACTAAGAAATCACAATGTAACCATAGAAACACCACTTGGTATATATGTGTGTGTGGGTGGGTGGGTTGGTGGTGTGTGTGTGTGTGTGTGTGTGTGTGTGTGTGTGTGTGTGTGTGTCTTCTCGATCCCCAGTGAGTTGTGGTGGATGGCTGCTTATACTGTGCCAGGATCCTCTGGAGGTTTCAGATTTCAGATTCATTGGCCAAGTAAAATTACATTTACAAGGAATTTAGCTTCGGTAGATGTTCGCTCTCTAAAACATACAACAACTACAATAAATGAGAATAAAAATACTTAAAAAACACATACTGTAAAACATGTATACCCACACACGTACATTTACACACACACACACATCTCCCAGAGTTCATTAGTGTCTAAAAATGCAACCAGCTGTAAATATACAACCCTCTCAAGCAGCTTAGATAAGTAAGGAAGATGTGAGATAGGTATGTAATTGGCCAACACAGCCTCCTCCAACCCCTTCTTTTTCAGCAGTGGTCGTACATCAGCCCTCTTAAAGGTAAGGGGAACCACACAAGAGGCCAGACTGGTATTTAAGATAAACAGTATATAAGGGGCCAGAACAGAAAAAGCCTCCTTAAGCATCCTTGGGGGAAGAACATCATAAATGGAACCAGAAGGTTTTTGCCTAGAAATGAGTTCCTCTAGCTCTGTCATAGATATAGTCTGGAAGGCTGGCAGGTTTGCCCTAAGTGGCATAGGCTCCACCAAAACAGGAGTGCGACCTACAGTAGCAGCCCGAATCATTGCTATCTTGTCCACAAAGTAGTGAAGAAAATCCTCACATGTCCTGGCCAACGCAGCAGTGGACCTGGAGGCAGAAGTTGCAGTTTCCAGTACTGAATCAATTACCTTAAAGAGAGTGCGTGGGTCATGAGAGTTTGATTCCACAATGTTGGCATAATATCTGATCCTAGCCTGTCGTACCACTTCCTGGTAATCAAAAAGTGACTTTTTATAAATTTCATAGGACACGTGAAGTTTGTCTTGCTTCCACTTTTGCTCAGCTCTCCTGCAGGCCTGCCTGGAGGCCTGGGTCTCATCAGACATCCACGGCTCTGCCCTATGCCCTCCTTTCTTAATCTTAAAGGGAGAGCGTGTCAAAACGAGTAATAAACTCTTCAACAGGGAGGTGGGCTAGGAGAAGATCCTGTCCTGCTAAACCAAAGCACTCACTGAATCTCGCCACCTTAGCAGGATTTATGGCACGACTGCACCTCTCAAGAAGAGAAGCTTTCCCCACTGCGTGTCCCAGACTGCAGCAAACCCCAAAAAAGAACCCCCCAAATTTAACTCGATGAAATCAGTTCCAATTAAACCATTACAGAAACCAGGAAATCCCAACAAACAAAAGCATTTGCTTTCTGTTTACCACTGACTTTAAAAAGGGAATGCACACAGTTGTTTTTTATATTTGTCTTTAAAACAATGTATTATGTTAAAAAAGACTAATATGAGTAGTAGCAGAATGAAAACAAATAATCAACTGAAATAAAAATAGCCCAACAGGTGATAATTTAGTTTAATATCAACTCCTTGGCAAAATTATTGCAAAGATCTGAAATAATTACATGCTTTAATTAATTCTAAATTATGTGAATTTTAAAAGAAATATGTTGTTTATTTAAAAAGGGGGACTGCAGGGTGTGTTCCAACTACAGGGGGATCACACTCCTGAGCCTCCCTGGTAAGGTCTATTCAGGGGTTCCGGAGAGGAGGGTCTGTCGGATTGTTGAACCTCAGATTCAGGAGGAGCAATGTGGTTTTCGTCCTGGCCGTGGAACACTGGACCAGCTCTATACCCTTAGGGGGATCCTGGAGGGTGTGTGGGAATTTGCCCAACCAGTCTACACGTGTTTTGTGGATTTGGAGAAGGCGTTTGACCACGTCCCTCGGGGGGCCCTGTGGGGGGTACTCCGGGAGTATGGGATACCAGGCCCTCTGATACGGGCTGTTAGGTCCCTGTATGACCGGTGTCAGAGCTTGGTCTGCATTGCCGACAGTAAGTCGGGCTCATTCCCAGTGAGAGTTGGACTCCGCCAAGGCTGCCCTTTGTCACGGATTCTGTTCATAACCTTTATGGACAGGATTTCTAGGTGCAGCCAAGTTGTGGAGGGCATCCGTTTTGGTGGCCTGAGGATCAGGTCTCTGCTTTTTGCAGATGATGTGGTCCTGTTGGCTTCATTGGAACGTGATCTTCAGCTTTCGCTGGAGCGGTTCGCAGCTGAGTGTGAAGCAGCTGTGATGAGAATCATCTCCTCTAAATCTGAGACCATGATCTTGATTCGGAAAAGGGTAGAATGCCTTCTCCGGGTCAGGGATGAGGTCCTGTCCCAAGTGGAGGAGTTTAAGTATCTCTTGTTCATGAGTGAGTGAAAACTGGAGCATGAGATCGATAGGCGGATTGGTGCTGCATCTGCAGTGATGTGGGCGTTGTACCGGTCTGTCGTGGTGAAGAGAGAGCCGAGTCAGAAGGCGAAGTTCTCGATTTACTGGTCGATCTACGTTCCTACCCTCACCTATGGTCATGAGCTTTGGGTAGTGACTGAAAGAACGAGATCAAGGATACAAGCAGCCGAAATTAGTTTTCTATACAAAGTGGCTGGGCTCTCCCTTAGAGATAGGGTGAGAAGCTCAGTCATCCGGGAGGGGCTCAGAGTAGACCCGCTGCTCCTCCACATCGAGGAGCCAGTTGTGGTGGCTCGGGCATCTGGTCAGGATGCCTCCGTGGTGAGGTTTTCCGGGCACGTCCAACTGGGAGGAGGCCTAAAGGTAGACCCAGGACACATTGGAGGGACTATGTCTCTCACCTGGCCAGGGAACACCTTGGGATTGCCCCGGAGGAGCCGGCCCAAGTGGCTGGGGAGAGGGAAGTCTGGGCCTCTCGCCTTAGGCTACTGCCTCGCGACCCGACTCCGGATAAGTGGGTGAAAATGGATGGATGGATGTGTTTAAAATTAATAAAGAGAAAATAAAACGCACCTTTTATCTTACGTTTGTACACAGATGTTAAAATGTAAAAGTCTGCATACAGAATAGTCTGAAGTCCAAAACGGTTTTCCTTTCACTTCATGGCTATAGTTAGATAAGTGCAGTAAGCCTGTCTCTTTCCTGATCTTTGCATTGCTTAAACATCACATTTCCATTATTTATTATGTTTTCCTTCTGCTACTAGTCAGATAAATCTTTACTAACATCACAAATAACTGCAGATTTTAGGTCGATGTTTACTGCCTGCATGTTGAGGTGGACGTTTCTAATCAAGCACGATGGTCCGGTCGTCTCTGAAACCAAACAAGACTAAAAGAGGCACAGAAAGGATTCTGAAACATTAATAAAGTGACACTCAGTTAAACCATCCATTTAGGTCGTTTGTGCATCGTGGTACTCCTGAAGACAGTTCCCGTCTTTGTTCAGGCATTTCTCACAAAAAACACGGGTGAAGTGATCACACGTGTGCCTGTGCAGTGCGTATTTGCTGGGCTTCCCATGCTGGAAAATAGTCAATAAAACCTTCTTTTCACACATCAAGAGGCCCATGTTGGCCTCTAACTGGCGCGAGGTGTTTCTTCTGGAGAGGAAAATGGACAGACTGTCCTGAGAGGTGGCAACAACAGCTTAAGGCACGATGAGCTTCTGCTCCTCATCTGAAGAGGGTCTATGCATTCATTACTGCCATCTGACAGCGCACCACCAAACGCTCTATTTTTGAGATCTGAAGCTGACAGCATCTCAAGGTCAACTCTTCTCATGAAAGTTGTTTTAGATGTTCAATCCCAGTCCTTCACTTCCACCTCTCTGCTTCTTGCAGATGCAGTCAACGTTGTCCTCATCTTTGTAACCGATGAAGATGCCATCGGTGAAGGTTTCAGACGATTGGGAAGTTTTATTTCATTCAAATATTTACTTTTAAAGCATGATTGTATTCAAACTCTAGTAAGTAATCTTTCAACGTTTGCATCAGATTATTTAGTTTCTTCATTGTTGTGAAAAAAAAGTAAAGTGATCAAAATAATTCATATTGAAAATGTTTTAATTGGCTGAAACATAACAGATGTATCGCCAGGTGTCCTTTTCTTGTCGGGTACTTCAGGGTTTTAAAGAAAAAGGGTTATTAATTTAAATCATGCCCATAATCATGAATGTTCAGCAGAATAAAAAAGTTCCCTTTTAAAACTCTAAATGAGTTTTATTTTGCTTTTGTTTGAGATCACACCGGTTTGTATCTAATCAATACTCCCTGATTGGTCTATTAACACACCAGAGCATCTGATATCTGAGCAGATAGCATAGAGTTCAGATTTCTTATTTTATTGACATTAAAAATACTTAATTGTGTTTTCAGCTAATGTGTATTTTCTTCTCTGACAAAAACGTTTTCCAGAACGAAGAGCCTTTCACCAGAACAATGAAGCTGGGCGTGCCCGCCTTGACAAAAAACCTGAGAACAAAGAAAGAAATCGTTAGAAACCCTTAAAGAGAAACTCACAAACACCAGAATGTTTATTTGTTTTCAAATCAATTAAAGGTGTGGCTCACTGAAATAACTTTATTTCTGAGATTTTCATGCAGGCCGAACATGAAAATAGTGTTCTACGCCTATCTGCGGCATTCGCTTCTGATAGAAAATAGACGGTGAAACGTAGAAATTCCTGACAGATCTACGTCACACTGTCACGTAACATTCATGGACTCACCCATCTTGACTCACGACAAGGAAGGTTGCTGTTGGTTTAGTGTCCAGGAAACAGCAGAGGACGTCTCGGCTATTAGACGCTAACTGTTAGCATTAGCAACTCCACCACACAGCAGAACTCTTCCAGGCTTGTGTTATTTGTAGAGATAAAACTTCAACATTGCAGAGCAAACTAAAGCCTAATTTATACTTCCTCTGAGTCGGGAAGGACACACGCAACGCCACTATCCGTCCTTTCGAGGGCTCTCCAGCAGGTTCGCAAGAACGGACGGAGTCGAGCTCTCTTTTCTAAACATCTGTGCGTCAAGACGGAGAATGCAAGCTTGTGATTGGTCAGGACGCTGCTGTCGTCTACAGCGCCACCATTGCGCCCTCAGAAACATAAAGAGAGCCGAGAATATCTAGCGGCAGAGACAGAGAAGCTTGAAGAATACCTCGCAGAAAAACTCTAAAAACATGAACATTTAATTCCCCCTTGGCTGGAGGAGTGAAAAGATACGCAGCAAGCGTTTTATTCATGGATGGAAATGACAGGAAACGTGGGTTTAAAGGTGGCGAGCACATGAAGAGGTGGAGGAGGATGAAGGACAAATTTGTCCGTGTTAAAAAGTCTATTAAATACAAAAAAAAACCACAATAAAACACACCATCTTGGACCGGATACATGACAGGATATCCCAGAACAGCGCTACGCCCTCTGTTGTCCTGGCGGGGAATTGCTTTGCAACACTCCCCAGGAAACGGAGAAGTACGAGGGCAAATTGCCTCCATCTGTGAGTGTGTGTCTCGTGGAGCTGACGGGGAAGTATAAATTAGACTTAAGTGGTAAAGTTGTGCTGCTGTTAGCCAGTCAGAGGCGAAATGTCCAAATATTAGGAAATAAGTCTCCAAATCCTGTCATCTGAAGCTCTCCTCTGAACTGGCTAACTTCTAGATCCTGTAAGAGAGTAACCAGAGCTTTTTGTACCCAGAGTACAACTAACAAGGAATTCATTCCTACTAGAGACCACTGCACATGTATTGATTAAACAGGTGAACCACACCTTTAAGCAATTAAAAAGTCTTTAACTATGAAATTAGGTTAGGGTTAAGCTGGATCACACTATGCGATTTGTGGCCATCTTAGCCAACTCCCTCGTCGGGGGGCATAACCGTGTAAAAAACATTGAATATGAGGGTGATTTGCATTTCCACATCCAGTCCGACTAGCTCTGCGGCAGCTTTTTGAGCCGTCTCACGACCCAAATCAGCCTCCGACAGTCTACAAACATGCTTGAAAACCTATGACTACTGTCTGCAATCGACCAATGAAAACACACCTTTGGGATGCTGCAGCAGCAAGACTCCGCCTCTCTGAGTTTTGGTTTTAATGTGTTTAAAATGCAGATTATAAACTACACAACAGTTTTTATTTTTTGTTAAAGCTGCTTTCAGGAGTTTTCCCCTTTCAGAAATCCGTAAAAGTGATTATCTCATCATGTACTGTGGTATGATGTAAGCAATGCGTCCTTTTTTGTTTTTTGCTAAGCACGCCCCCTGCCCCGCAGAGCTCCGTGCAATAGGAAACTGAGCGCCGACCAGAACTAACCAATAGCGTTAGACTACCGCTTTAAGGAATACCTCAGCTGATGTTGAGTTGATGAACTTTTCACGGACAAGTAAGTCTTTAAAATATAAAAATATGAAAACACAACATGACATGAGAATAATACTCGTAAAATAACGTGTTTTAGCTCCGTTTGTTGGCTACAGAAGCACATCTATAAACAAAAATCGTGAAGTCGCCATCTTCGGTTCCAGAGACTATTTGTGTGATATGCTTGTCAGCCAGCATAAGGTGCCATTGTTTAATGGAGGCAGGTGTTGCAGATTTGCAACGTTAAAATCTACCTACCTGGTTACTCCACATGCGTATTTCATGAGCATTATTTAAATGATAAATGACCCGCACTTGTATAGCGCCTCTCAGAGTAAAGCCTGATTTATGCTTCTCCGTCTGCGTCAGTGCGGAGACACGCAACGCCATTATCCGTCCTTGCGTAGGGCACGCAAGTACGTACGGAGTCGAGCCCACTTTTTTAAACATCCGTCGAACGAGACGGATTACGCAAGCTTGTGATTGGTCGGGATGCTGCTGTTGTTTACAGCGCCGCCATTGCAAAGAGAGCCGAGGATAACTAGCGGCAGACACGGAGAAGCTTGAAGAATACCTCGCGAAAAAACTCTAAAAATATGAACGTTTAATTCTCCCGTGACTGGAGGAGTGAAAAGGTGTGCAGCAAGCGTTTTATTTGTGGACGGAAATGACAGGAAACGTGGGTTTAGAGGTGGGAAGCGCATGAAGGGGTGGGAGAATGAGAGACAAATATGTCCCTGTTAAAAGTCTCTTATATACACAAAAAACACAATATAAATACACGATCTTGGACTGATACATGACAGGATACCACAGAACAGCGCTACGCCCTCTGTTGTCCTGCAGGGCAATTGCTTTGCAACACTCTCCAGGAGACGGAGAAGTAAGAGAGCAAAACGCTTCCGTCAGTCCGTGCGTGTCTGTCCCTTGCGGAGCTGACGGAGAAGCATAAACCAGGCTTTAGGACTCCAAAGCGCTTTACACTACAGTGTATCATTTATCCATTCACACACACATTCACACACTGGTGGTGATGAGCTACGATGTAGCCACAGCTGCCCTGGGGCGCACTGACAGAGGCGAGGCTGCCGAGCACAGGCGCTACCGGTTCCTCCGACCACCACTAGCAGGCAAGGTGGGTTAAGTGTCTTGCCCAAGGACACAACAGCAGAATTCTCTGTCCTGGAGCCAGGATCGAACCTGCAACCTTCCGATTACTGGACAACCCGCTCAACCTGTTGAGCTACTGCTGCCCCCCCACACTCAGAAGTACCCCTGAAGGACTTAGTTGTTCGTCCTTTTATCAAAACTTATTTTGAGCCTGAGAGGGTTAAGAGCCCAAGTTAAGCCAGAGTTATGCTAAAATAATTACACAACATTTTTAGACTGTCAGCTGAATTATGAAAACCGTGATTCTTTGATCTATGAGAGTGTGATAGATGTGGTCACAAACCTAAAAAATCAAACACAAAAACATGAGATCCCTTTTCTGTTGGTGGAAACCGCACATGTTCAACCAACAAGGATGGTTCAGCAGCGTTTTGCTGCAGAGGGACACAGGACGCTCCGCTCTGTGACAGCGGGTGTGATGAGGCGTCACGGAGCTGCGGGGTAAATAGTGAGACAGATATTGGAGCGATCTGAGATAGATTGTTACTTCTCTGTAGTTTAGCGGGTTTTTATGGATAATGGAGAAGGATGAATGACCAGAAGACAGATCAGCCGTTTAGCTGAAAGATGGACAAAGAAGACCCAAAGCCAGTCTCTGACGCCAAAGCGAGGGTTTTGAAAATGACCCTTGTTCTGAGGAAGATGAGCGAAGTGTTACCAGCGGTGCTTTATTTTATCTTCAGCTTTGTTTTGGTTAGCGGTCTGCTTAGGAGGTGTCCTGTTGGAGCGACTCAGAAATCTTGCACCGTACAGCGTGCCGCCTTTCTGGAGTTCTCACAGCGTGACAAGAACCGTGTGATCCGGGCTTTAACCAGAAATCTCCTGAAATCTGATTCACCTTTTAACAAACCAAAAACCTGCAGTAACCATAGCGATTACACTAAATTACATTATAACTTATAAATGGCAAAAATGATGTCAGAATGTAATGTAAGCCACAATAAAAACAATGATTACATTTAACAATAAATAGTAAGAATTTAGCCTAAACTCAGTTTCTTAGAAATAAAATCACCTTTTATGCTGCAGGACTCTCAAGAGGGACGCATCTGGATCTACTTGGTAGAGAGTCTGTTTCACCTCATCCTCAAAGTAGAGCTGAAAGTACAAAACAGTAAATTACCTTCGGTCGGACTGTTGATGTTTAATCCCACTGGCGTAACTTTGTCTGTCAATGCGGATTTTAACTCCATCAGACATTTTTCTACATATTATAATTATAGAGAATAAACCTCCTTGGTTAAACTTCTCAGAACTTTAAACTCAAAGGAATTAAATAATTTATAGTTTAAGAAAAGTACGTCATCAACTACCTTATATGTTTTGGTCTGTTTCCTTCCTGCTCTTAGCTTTACTTAACTCATTCACTGCCACTGACGACTAAAGTCGTCATTTGCATTTTTTTACTGTTTGAGCATCGGAACGAGCCCCCGCGCTGAGAGAACATACATCTCAGCCCTGAAGCCGATCTTCATCCACATACATCACAGATCACATGATCAGGAAGCAACACATCCATGTGTTTGGAGATCGTTTTGGGCCGTTCCTGTAAAAAAAAAAAAGAGAGGCGCGAACCGGAAAAGCATCTGCCGATCACAATTCGACAACGGGTTATGAAAGAACGGATAACGCTCGAAACACGCAGACTCTTCCTGATGAAAGAGGTGAGTCTCCTCTTTGTTTTGGTTGTTTTGGCATCGACATCATGCTAGCGCGCAACGTTCTGTGACTCTTAAAAAAACAGTAAAAACGGTGAGAACCGCTGGCAGCGAAGGCCGTTAGTTATCAGGAAACGGCTGGCAGTGAATGAGTTAAACATCACAAAACTAAATACCTGCAGATTCTGGGGGTGGTATTTTCTGTCTGTGTCCCAAGGTGGAAGCTCTTCTCCAAACATGACGGTCAGGTGGTCTCTAAAACTAAACAACCATTAAAATGTTAAAAAGATAGTCACATATGAGCAAAGCATGAATTCAAATCATCAAATAGCGCCACCATGTGGCCTTATAAGCATTTTCTTACTAACAAATTCATAACATTTTTAATTTTGCCAAACTAACATTTGTAATCTTGTCATGCTCTGTATGATGACAATAAAGAATTCATTCATTCATTCATTTTAACAGCTTCTCTGATTTCTATAACTCAAATTTTCTTTTTGGTCATTGTTGCTTTTTCAAAATGTCATTTCAGACTAAATTAAGATAAAGAAGAGTTTTTAGTTTTTTTTACCAGGTGTTCTCGCAGAAGGCCGAGATAAAATCAGTCTGCTGATGTTCAGGGTAGAGAAAGAGAACAGGCCAATGCAGCAGGCCCTGCTGGTCTAGGAAAACCTGAGCCCCTGTGACCTCCTGGGAGCTCAGGCCATCCAGACTCAGCTGGGCGATGGCTGCAGGAGAGCCAGCATCCTCATCATCACTGTTTGAACCATGCACACGTGTCCCTGCAGGCGGCAGAAGTTTTATACCTCGGTCCTGTCCGCAGATCACAAAAACACATCCGATGATCATAAACAAATATGTGATTTTATATCTCATTCTGTAATGATGTGATCCTAGAGAACACATGTTGTGTTTAATCAGGATGATTCAGGTCATGCGAATATTGTATGTTTGTTTTAAGGTTTAAAAATAAGGATATTTTTACCTTTATAGCAACGAGAAGAGCTTCTTTCTCACCATGTAACTTCTTTTCTTTGGCCTTGGCTTTTCTGGCATCTCTCTCTGCTGTTCTCTGTAGACACACACACACACACACACACACACACACACACACACACACACAATATAGGTTTAACTTGATGCATTCATCTTTTAAAACTTTCACGCATAGCTCACCAACAGCAATAATAAAATAATAATACTTTGTGTTTCTCTGCTGCTGCTCTCAGCTCCTGCAGCTTTTTGTCAGTGGGGTGGACCTTTAATCCCTCATCGCACCACTGGACAGCCTCTGCAAAGTTACGCAGCTCTATGCAGCACTGAGCTCCTGCAGGACCACAAACACAATCCAACACCGTCATTATCAATGCAGAACACCGAAGCAGACATTTAGAATAATTGACGTCTAACTGTAATAATTTACTATATGTTTCCTCTGGTGTTTGGCAGCCACTGTGTTGTACTAAAAATAGCTAATTCTCACTGCAGAGATTCCACTTCAATGTCATTTGACCAATTCTTGCAAATACAATCAAAAATATGGAAAGAAACAAATCCATTTGGCTTTTTATCAGTATAGTTGTTGTGATTCGTTACTTTGTGAGCAAAGTATTAGCTTACAGACCTCTGATCAAAGCTTTGAGGTGGTCTGGTTTGATCTTTTTTGCAGCTACAGCATCATTCAGTGCAGAGCGCATGTTACCTGTGTTAAAAAATATCAGTGCACTTTAATATTTATGTCTTGACACAGGTGAATGAACGGTGAATGTACCATGAGACATTTTACCCAGATGGAAGTGTGAAGCGGCTCGGTTCGTGAGAATTACAGCCCTGAGCTCCTCATCCCCACATTTCACCTTCAACGCTGCTGTGTAAGACACGACTGCCTGTTTGTAGCTCCTCTCCTTAAAATAAGCATTTCCTTCATTTTTCAGGCTTTTTGCTTGTTCTGATGAGGAAACAAAACATGTATAAACTTTAATATGTGAGTGAAGACTCATTCTGTGTTCGGATAAGGACACACTTACCTTCTGGAGGTCGGTCTTCATCGTGGATCATGGACTGGAGACATGCTAGGTCTGGGTATTCTCGTGGGTTGATGTTTTCAGGGGCTTCTTTCATAAACATGGGTATTTTATCGAACTCCTAGAAGAAAAACAAAAAAACTAAATAAATCTCGATATTAACTAACGATCTGTTGAAGACTGATGATGAAAGTCTGAGTTACCTCCTCCCAGGTGTCTTCATTGAAGCCCTTTTTATATCTCTGCGTCTTGAATTTGTCCATGAATTCGTCCATCCCGTCGTCACTGTCACTCTGAACCGCCGTTGACGCCATTTTGGCTCAATTTAGCGCTAAAACGCTGTTTAGTGACGTTAATATGGAATAAAGACTATAAATGTATCTACAGAAACCGAACCCACAGCCAAAAAAGCATAAACGCAGCCTTGTTTACGCATGTGTTTCTGCGCTGCGCGTTTATTACTAGTCCGTGCGGAAACTTAAACCCGAAATATTGGTTCCACTTTCAGAATAAACCACTTACCAGTGTAGTTTGTTTAAAAATATCAAAATTGGAGAAAAACATTTTTTTAACTTGGACTCCAAATATTTTATTTTTTCCGTGGAAGGGTAAAAAACAAAGTATGTGATTCAGGGTGTGTAAACAGTGTATGCGCCACTCAAAATTATTTTAAATAAACAACGTAAACGATAAATGACCCGCACTTGTATAGCGCCTCTCAGAGTAAGGACTCCAAAGCGCTTTACACTACAGTGTATTATTTATCCATTCACACACACACTCACACACTGATGGTGATAAGCTACGATGTAGCCACAGCTGCCCAAAGTGAAACTCAGTTTTTTGCTAATTTTATAAGCAATGTTAAAAAGGCTTTCATGCAATAAGTCCTATTAACTGAATTCCATAATCTCTCAAAATGACTTGCAAAAGTGAACCTTTATTACTAAAACTTTTAAAAAGGTTTATGATAAAACTGTATTCTTGTGTTTAAAGTTTTTCTTTTAACATTGACCATTTCACCACTTTGCTTGTTTTGATGGGAAATTCTATTTCCACAGAACTAAGATATAAACTTAGTTTATCATGAGTGATTTGATTAATTATCTCCCGCTCTTATTGTTCCATTTCCCCACCTTTATAATAGCTGTATCTTTTTCATGGTTTCATCTACAATTATCAAGTTCATAAATAAAGATAATGAAAGACAAGGCTAAATAATAAAACACATCTTTTGTGGAGCTCCTACATATTTCTTTATTTCAGAAATACATTTAAACAAGCAACCAGTACCGGGAAGAAAAAAAAATGTAAAACTATAAAGCTGTGCCTTTATTTCTCTTCTTATTGAGCATATAAGAAAAAAAAAGCATTAATCAATCCCAGAGACCTTATCAAGCCATTTTTAACAGCAAATTTACTCGTTTGTGAATAAAACCTATGTAATGTCTAGACAAAGTCTTTAGTATTCTTTGGACTTCAACCATCAAAATAAACAATCATGACAATTCTTACAGGATCAGCTGTTAAAGTTTTGTTACACAGTTTCCACTCTTCCCAGTAGATCCAGGAGTCCATCCTTACTGAGGAACATAGTCTCACCCGTCTGCTGACACACCACCTCAATCTTTGGATTTTCCTCTAAAGCCACCTGTCCTACTACGATGACATAAGGGTAGCCCAGTTTATTAGCATCCTTCAGCCGCTTTCCAATGGTCATGTGTGTGCGGTCATCAAGAACAACTTCACCTCTCAGATGAGGAACAGCTTCTCCCAGAGTCTGAACCAGTTCTTCTGCAAAGACTGCCGCCTTATCTACCCTACTGCCCTTCTTAGGGGGCAACACACAAACTTGATATGGAGCGATAAGACCCGGCCAGCGGATCTCTTCCTCTGTTGACATCACCTCGATGGCTGCAGCGAGAATGCGCGTCACCCCAAGACCGTAGCAGCCCATCTCTGCAGTAGCAGGCTTGTTCTGGGCACTGCTGAAGGTGGCTTTGAATATATGGGAGTACTTTTTACCCAAATAAAAGGTGTGACCTACTTCTATACCCTTTGATTCTACCAGTGAGCCAGTGTTGCACTGTGGGCAGTCGGTTCGGCCTGATGACAAAGTCTCCGCATTAGCGGAGAAGGAGCAGCTTCCACAGAGCAGCAGATGGTCCTCACCAATGTCTGCCGGCAGCTGAAACTCATGTGAGAGAGTACCGCCGATGTTTCCCGTGTCTGCCTGCACCTGAACGCAACGCAGACCCAACCTGGCAAAGAGTCGAGAGTATGCTTCACACACAGACTCGTACGTCTGGTTCGCAGCTTCTTCGCTAACATCAAATGAGTACATGTCCTTCATGTAGAACTCTCTCCCTCGCAGAAGGCCAAACCTTGGCTTGGGTTCATCTCTGAACTTCCTGGTGATCTGGATTTGAAGAAGAAATCTCAGTAAAAAACCCACAGCTAGTGACAGTAACAAGCTGGATGCTTACTTGGTAAAGAAGCAGAGGCAGCTGTTTGTAGGACAGAGTCGTCTGATGAGCGACAAGGGTCGTCACTGCCTCCTCATGGGTGGGACCTAAGCAGTAGTCTGCCCTGTGGCGGTCTTTCAGACGGAACAGCTCCTTTCCCATCAAATCCCAGCGCTCACTGGCTTTCCAGAGATCAGCTGAGCATAAACTAGGCATGTCTAGCTTCTGTCCACCAATCTCGTGCATCTCCTGGTCAATCACTTTAATCTGTTGAATAAAAACTCCAGTTATAATTGAATAACAACCAAATAAATACAATTATTCTCTGTTACAGCAGTAATTTATTTTTTTACTTGAAAACATAAACTGGATTGTCAATGTTTGGACACTTAATCGCATTTTCTGTTATTGTTATTTCTTCCAGAGTCTAGTGGTGATGTTTAAATAGTAATTCTTCATACCAAACACAGAATACATTTCCTTTAATTATGTTAAAACGTGCAGATAACTTTTCAAACCCACACTTTACCGTTGAGATGTCATCATCTTACTGAACGTCCTCATCGGGCTCCATTCAAACAAAACTTCATGCCAAAAAGTTCTGTTTTGATGTCAATACTCAACACGACCTGCTTTATTGTGTTTGGAAATGTAGCTTATTTTATAGTTGTAGCAATTGGTACAACTGTTGCCTTGCAGCAAGGAGGTTGCAGGTTTGAATCCTAGCTGGGCCTTGCTGCATAAAGCTGCCATGTTTTCTCACTTTTGAGACAATTGTCCCCAGATGTGATACAATGTGACTTTACGTCCCTGTGACTGACTGGAGACTTGTCCTGAGTGTCCCCCACATCATGCCAGATGACTAGGCACCAGCTCCCTCCCTCCTGAGGAGCTAGCATTTAGGATATTACTTTATTACAGAACAAAAGCTAATTTAGAGCTCAGACCTCAGAATTTTTTAATTTTTATTTTTACGCACAAAAGCACGATAAAACCCACAGAAACAGTTGCTCAAAAACATTTTGTTATGCAAATGAAAACCCACCAGCTTCTCCATGGAGCGCACGGCGGCAGGAAGGTAGTAGTAGCACCCTGGGTTGGATGGATGGATGAGCCCAGCCTGCTGCATGAGTCTCTGGCTCTTACAGGTCATCTGCCCCGCCAGCCGGCTCTCCTGACCCACATCACGCAGGTTCGAGGGCTGGTACAGACGAGACACCAGGAGCCTCGGACAGACACGAGGGGACGCAGAGACAGCTGCGTGCTCAGCCTGACCTGACTGGAACCTTTTTGGAAGAATAAAAGCTCCGTGGAGGTAATAAAAGGATCTCCTCCAGGTCTGGTGGGTCGCTGGCTCCATCAAGACGTTCAAGTGGTGTAAAGTCCAGTAATCTACAAATGTTAGCTTATTAAGTTAGTACAGGTAACGATACCAGCGCTGAAACAAAATAATAAAAAAAAAACGAAGGCACATGGAGACAACGACTGTGTGGTTTCTTCAGTTAAAACAAATTCATGAAAGAGAATGCCAAACGACGGCTGTAAACTACAAACACAGTCCGTGTTAAAGTAAGCTCCGCTTCCGGTTTTCATTTGCTGTGCACCAGAGCTTGAGAATGTCACAGCGCCACCTGCAGGCAGGGCGTAAACAGAAACAGAAATGGGTCAAGCGTGTTTTTTAACGTAATAGCACATTTCTGTATTCTATATTCTCTCCCGTGTTATAAAACAACACAATTACAAATTAGGGTTCTATTTCCTCAAACTAATCAAATCTCAAAAATTTTATATCAAAGAAGAAGGGCAAAATATATCAATCAATGGAAATGTAATCAATAAGGTTAGGAGTAATACTTGATCACAAACTATCCTGGAAACACCATATAAAATACACAAAACAAAAAATAAATGCAAAAATATATCGATACTAAAGAAAACTAAACACCATATCTGACTTACTGTGTGGAAATATGGGGCAGCACATATAAAACCAATACCAAACCTATAGTCATTTTACAAAAAAGAGAAATCAGAATCATTCATAAAAAACATTACAGAGAACATACCAATGAACTGTTTATCCAGTCAAACATATTGAAATTTGAAGACAAAGTAAACCTCTCCACTCTGTTGGTCATATACAAGGTCAAATACAAACCACCAAATGACAGTCATAAGTATTTCAAACAGAGCAACCACAAAGACAACAATGAGATTTTCAACAAATATTCTGTAGAACAACGCTGAAACAAATGAGCTTATCAATAAAAGGTGTTAAACTTTGGAACTCATCGGACAAAGAACTAAAAAAGTGTCTGACAATCAGTCGCTTTAAAAACAACTACAAAGAAAAAATTATTAACTCATACCGAAACATAACAAATGAATAGCTCACGTGATGCAAATGTACAGCAACTCATAGCAGGATTACTTATCTAACCTTGACTAATCACACACTACTTTGCAGTATAAAAGTTACAACTCTAGATTCATTGTAATCGTCCTCGTCGTTGTCTTCCTCCGCTTATCCGGTCCGGGTTGCGGGGGCAGCATCCCAACTTGGGAGCGCCAGACCGTCCTCTCCCTGGCCTTGTCCACCAGCTCCTCCGGCAGGACCCCAAGGTGTTCCCAGACCAGAATGGAGATGTAACTTCTCCAAAGTGTCCTAGGTTGACTCGGGGGCCTCCTGCTGGCAGGACATGCCCGAAACACCTCCCCAGGGAGGCATCCAGGAGGCTTCCTAGCCAGGTGCCCAAACCACCTCAACTGACTCCTTTCGATCCGGAGGAGCAGCGGTTCTACTCCGAGTCCCTCCCGAATGTCTGAGCTCCTCACCCTATCTCTAAGGCTGAGTTCGGCCACCCTACGGAGGAAACTCATTTCGGCCGCTTGTATCTGCGATCTCGTTCTTTCGGTCATTACCCAAAGCTCATGACCATAGGTGAGGGATGTAGACCGACCGGTAAATCGAGAGCCTGGCTTTCTGGCTCAGCTCCCTCTTCACCACAACAGATCGGCTCAGCGTCCGCATCACTTCAGACACTGAACCAATCCGCCTGCCGATCTCCCGATCCCTCCTACCCTCACTCGTGAACAAGACCCCGAGATACTTAAACTCCTCCACTTGAGGTAGGACCTCTCTCCCGACCCGGAGTTGGCAAGCCACCCTTTCCCGGTCGAGAACCATGGTCTCAGATTTGGAGGTGCTGATCCTCATCCCAGCCGCTTCACACTCGGCCACGAACATACCCAGCAAGAGCTGAAGGTCAGAGCCTGATGAAGCTAGGAGGACCACATCATCCGCAAAAAGCAGAGACGAGATTCTCCTGCCACCAAACTCGACACACTCCACACTACGACTGCGCCTAGAAATTCTGTCCATAAAGGTAATGAACAGAACCTGTGACAAAGGGCTGCCCTGGCGGAGTCCAACCCTCACCGGGAACAGGTCTGACTTACTACCGGCTATGCAGACCAAACTCACGCTCCTCTGGTAAAGGGACTGAATGGCCCTTAACAAAAGGCCATCCACCCCATACTCCTGGAGCATCCCCCACAGGGTGCCCCTGGGGACACGGTCATAAGCCTTCTCCAAAGCCACAAAACACATGTGGATTGGTTGGACAAACTCCCATGCCCCCTCCATCACCCTTGCAAGGGTATAGAGCTGGTCCACAGTTCCACGACCAGAACGAAAACCACATTGCTGCTCCTCAATCTGAGATTCAACTATCGATCTGACCCTCCTCTCCAGTACCTTGGAGTAGATCTTTCCAGGGAGGCTGAGGAGTGTGATCCCCCTATAGTTGGAACACACCCTCAGGTCACCCTTCTTAAAGATGGGGACCACCACCCCGGTCTGCCACTCCACAGAAACTGCCCCCGATGACCACGCAATGTTGCAGAGACGTGTCAACCACGACAGCCCTACAACATCCATAGCCTTGAGATACCCAGGATGAATCTCATCCACCCCCGGGGCTCCACTGCTGTGTAGATGTTTGACTACCTCAGCAACTTCTGCCCCCGAGATTGGACAGTCCATCCCCAGGTCTCCCGGCTCTGGTTCCTCCTCGAAATGCGTGTAGGTGGGATTGAGGAGCTCCTCAAAGTATTCTTTCCACCGTCCGACTATAGCCCCAGTTGACGTCAGCAGCTCCCCATCCCCACTGTAAACAGTGTGAGCGAGTTGCTGCCTCCCTCTCCTGAGGCGCCGGACAGTTTGCCAAAACCTCTTTGGAGTCGATCGACAGTCTTTCTCCATGGCCTCACCAAACTCCTCCCACGCCCGAGATTTTGCCTCGGCAACTGCCACTGCTGCACCCCGCTTGGCCGCTGGGTGGGGGTGGGGGTGGGGGTAGGGGTGGAGGGTCTGGTGCCTATCTCCAGTGGTTAATGGGCAATCAGGCCGGGTACACCCTGGACAGAGAGCCAGTCCATCGCAGGGCAACACAGTGACACACAGGACAAAAAACCATGCACACACACACTCTCACACCTAACCTAAGGACAATTTAGACAGACCTAATACTCATGTTTTTGGACTGTGGGAGGAAGCCGGAGTACCCAGAGAGAACCCACGCCTGCACAGGGAGAACATGCAAACTCCATGCAGAAAGATCCCAGGCTGGGAAGCGAATCCAGGACCTTCTCGCTGTAAGGCAACAGCTCTAACCACTGCGCCACTGCGCAGCCCTTCCTGTTATAATAATGTAAAATAACAATAAATTCATTCATTCATTTTATGTAGGAGTATTTTTAAACCTTGGTTCAGTCATAATGATTTCTGCAGAAAATTTCAGTCCTGACCCGTCTCCAAAACATTTAGCATTTAGCATATTGTAAATAACAAAATAACTCCGTATAAATGAGATGGATTGATAGATTGAGTGAGTGAGTGAGTGAGTGAGCGAGAGAGAGAGAGAGAGAGAGAGAGAGAGAGAGAGAGAGAGAGAGAGAGAGAGAGAGAGAGAGAGAGGACACTGGGGGTGAAGGGGTGAGGTGATGCTTTCTTATTATTCTGGTGAAAAGTTGGGTTTGCTAACCAACATAGAGACTGTTCTTTGTGTTGTCTTCAAATTCAAATCAAGAATCAAAACAACAACAAAAGTATTTACTGGTGATTATAATTTCTATTACTCTTAATTTTTAGCTTTATTTCAATCTCTTTATATCTCCTGCTGTAAATATTCTCATGCAACCTCAATGATGAGATCTCAGAGTTAAGAGCTATGACGAGAACAATTGACGTTTGTCAGGTAGTCTCATTTCTGATCAAACTTTGCCTCAGGTGCATGAAGGTACGTTTGTTCATAAGTGAGACGTTCATGTCTGTGCTTGACTTTTCTGTCTGGACTCCCTGGCAGCATCAGATGTAATCAAACTTCTCAGGAGATCTGGGGCACGATAGGATCTTTGACTCTGGTGACAGTTTTACATGTAAACCAAAAAATCTATGACACACATAGATTTTAATACAGGTAATTTTCATGTGCAATGAAAAGGAAACAAAAATTGCACGTGTGTCGACTCATAACATTTTTACACATAAAACGTGACATACAACACAATTTTATTTAAGTATTTAGGCCTTTTTGGATTTTACATAAAGTAAAAAGCTCAGGTACAAAGTGAGTTCTGATATAAACAATTAATGATGACAGAGAAGTTTAAGCATTCCTGCATTGTTTAACATTTCTTAAAAATTGCTGAAACAATGTTCTAAAAATCAGATTTTGAAGCCAATTTTCATCTCAAAGCTACAGATGTTTGGTTTAAAATATTTAATTTTAACCAAGCCAAAGAGGTTGGAATTCTTGTAGCCTAAGAAAACAGCTTTTTCCTTTTTGTTTGTGATTTTCAGAACCCTACTCTGTTATCACGCACTGTTGCTGTTTTAGTACAATTGACAAGTTTTTATTGAACGCACCACACTAATGTATATGTAATCTGTCCCTTTGTTGACATGAAGTCTGTGTTAATGCACTTTTTACTGACTTTATAGCATTTTACACCAGCGATTTTAAACCATTATACCTCCCAAACACACACACACACACACACACACACACACACACACACACACACACACACACACACACACACACACACACACACACACGCGCGCGCGCACACACACACACACACACACACACACACACACACACACACACACACACACACACACACACACACACACACACCTGATAACATGAGCCATCCTATTGTCCAACTTCAGAGAGACCAAAGGTGCACGCTCTGATGTCCTTCTGAGAAAATTAGGTTTGTGTCTGTTCCATCCATTTATGCTGCAGCTCTCTTTGAAATGTTTAGCTCCCAGAAAAAAGGGCGACTGTATGTCTCATTGAGATATGAACAACCACATTACGACAGATTCTATCACCTAACTTTGCATTGTCATGTTTGTTTTTTCATAAGCAGCAGAATTTAAAATGAACTTTCTCGAAAAATGTCTTGAAAAGTAATAACAGGTGACACAAGAACACCAACGTGTTCTTACAACTGCTTTAAAGGGATAGTTCTGATATTTTGCAGTATGATTTTGTGGAAAAGTTATGAACAGTTAAATATTACCTGTTGCAGATAACTATTTACTAATAACCTGAATTTAGAGAAACAGAAATTATAAGAAGAAACAATTTTTATATAGCACCTCTCAAGGTAAAAATCATGAGGCGCTTTACAAGAAGGAAAAGTATATAAAAAATATATATATTGTAATAAAAAATGGGTAAGGAGAAAATTTTTAGGTAAAAATGTGAAGGAAGAAAATAAATGAATATGGAACATAAAATCATGGAATCCTGAGAAAGACAGAATTGGCAGAAACAGCAATATTAAAGAGCTCAGCATGTGCTGGAGATGGAGCAGATCAAGGAGGAACAGTAGAGGTCCCAGCACAGAACCTTGTGGGACACCATGGACGAGGGAGGTGGAGGAGGACCAAAAAAATTTCAGCTGAAGTGCTGTGAAATTTTAAGGTTAGTGTCATGTGAAGGCAGAAACAAAACATTGCCAAGGATAGTTCAGGGCAGCAGTAGCTCAGGAGATATGGTTGTCTAATAATCAGAAGGTTGTAGGTTTGATCCTGGCTTTTGCCAGAGAATGCTGCTGTCGTGTCCTTGGGCAGAACACTTAACCCGCTTTGCCTGCTGGTGGTGGTCGGAGTGACCGGTGGCGCCTGTGTAAGGCAGTCTCACCTCCATCAGTGCACCCCAGGGCAGCTGTGGCTACAATTTAGCTCATCATCACCAGCTTGTGAACGTGTGTGTGAACGTGTGAATGAATGATTGTGTTGTGAAGCACCTTGGGGGGCTGTAGAACCCTAAGAAGGAGCTTTACAAATACAGTCCCTTTACTATTTACCATTTAGTTCATTAGTCAGGTCAAATAACTAGGTTCACATACGCTCTCTACAGAAATGCTTCAGAGAAGGTTTGTAGTACACACACACACACACACACACACACACACACACACACACACACACACACACACACACACACACACACACACACACACACACACACACGTTTTTCACAGACTTGTTTTCTGTTTGCACACGAACACCCGGACATCACTGCCATCTAAACAACTTCAGAGAAGTTCCAAGAGGAACCGGCTCTAAATGGACGAAGTGAAACGTCACATCGAGTTTCTCATCAGCAGCTTCGTAATGACTGCATGATGAACTGTCAACATTGATTTTTGCTCCTCTTAAGGCCCAAATTACTACAAAATGAAGGACGACATGGTCATCAGAGTGTCATAAACACAGAAAACATCTGTCTGGCTGCAGGAGGAATCACTTTATATCCTTTAGTCAGCCATGCATTGTCGTGAGACTCTGGGCTATCTGGGTCTGAGGAGGCTGCACCTCATTTAATATGATGAGGTTGTAAAAAGCTGCAGGTCGTTAGTCTGTTTTAGAGGTCTGAGATCGGAGATTGTGGAGATAAATGGAAGCATAAAAAAATGCATGGGTGTGTTTGTGTGTCACAGGGACAGTAAGTGGGAGGTGGACTGTATATAACACACAAAGACTCAGCCGATGGCAGTGTAGAACGGGCCAGAACAGAGCAAGAGACAGAGCCGCTGCAGAGGGTTTAGGAGACCAACAAACAGCATAAAACAGATAGCCAGGAGTCCAGCATGCGCGCCCTGGTAGTTCTCCCTCTAGTCCTGTGTGTGGTGGTGTGTGTGCATCAGGCCAGAGCAGAAGGGAAGGCAGTGAAGCTGTGCGGTCGAGAGTTCCTGAGGGCTGTCGTCTACACTTGCGGAGGCTCCCGCTGGAGGAGATTCTTCAGTGATCCAGAGATGGACGGTGAGAAAACTCTGATGTTTGATGCGTCACAGCAGATTTTGTCTCTCTGCTCCATTGTTTTGAATATGCAAAAAACTTCATGATCACAACTTTTTAAAAACTTTTCCTGGTGAAAAAAAAACATGTCATGATTTCCACTTAAGTGCTTTTTTTGGGGCGGAAATCTAATAATAAAGAAAAGCAATATTTGCAGGGACACTCACATTATTGGGGTCACATTTGCTGCTGTTTTTGATGTTGTATAGGGTGGAAATATCATCAGTAACATGTTTGATTATTTATTTAGAACCCATTTTAGTTTTTAGGTTAGATTTAAGTTTATTAATGCCGCAAATAGCGTACTAGGAAGTTACAATGCTGCAAAATGCTGATAATCCTTTGATCAAGCTGCTTAGAGTAGAATAGAAAATCCCTTTATTGTCCCTCAGTGGGAAAATGTTGGTGTCAAATAAAAACTAACGAGTAAACAACCAGAAAACATAATGCAGAAATACTTAAAACATTAAAAAATCTCAAAATTCACAATGCTGAATAAACATTTTAAGAAATTTAATTAAAAAAAACGATGTTGGAGTATTTACAGGGAATGAGTGTTTACTACTGTGTGTGTGCAGGGCTGTGGGTGTGCATGCAGACATGTGTCTCCACACAGAGACGTGTTTAGTCTTATTATGGCAGAAGAGACCGTGTGTCTTTGTTAAAATGCTGGAGGCGTCCGTTTTCGGGGCCATCCCTCCTGTCTTACTGTCTGTCAGACAAATCCAGTTAGCATATCAGTGGTGATGATTAGACTAAAGAAAACGACGCTGCAGTGGACAAATGCCTCAGAGCTAATCACTGCAGTCATTTAGGTACAATCATTAATCAGACTCATGGAAACAGACATCAAAAAGTACTTGGAACCTACATCAGCAATACAGCTAATTGAATTTATTAATTTAATTCTAACTTTCCATAGACAAGAACATCAGTGGTATAGGAGAGAATAAAAGATAATGTATTTATGTTCACTTTTTGTGTGTTGTTTTTGCTCCAGGTCAGCCTGCAGGTGAGCAGAACAGCTTGGAAAGCAGTCCTGGATATGAGCAGAGCAAACGGGACATTAATAACGCCGTGACCAGCATGTGCTGTCAGGTGGGCTGCAGGAAGAATGACCTCTCTTACCTCTGCTGAAGACCTCCTGAAGGACTCTCCCATCTTGCGTCGTCGCTAAAAACACAAATCCGAGGCATCTCACTGTGTCCTACACGTGTACATGTGAATGTGGAGCATCTTTTAAATTGTGTGTTTGAACCCAAACTGGAGAACATGTGTTAAAAATGTGTTTAATTATATTTTAAATGGAGATGTTATTAAAGCATGTAAGACCGATGACTCAGACTGTGTCTTGAACTTGTGTTCTGACTAAATCCAAAGATTTTCCATTCTTGTTTTAAAGCTGACTTGTACTCTATATTTTACAAATGTCAAAATAAATGTTCTTGCACCAGGCTCGCACGTCTGTGTTTTTAGACAGTAAGTTGTTTCTGTGGAGGGAAATCATCGTGTCATCAGATCACAAATGAAACTTGAATTCTGAGCAAAATTGAGAAAGACTTCCATAAATGTCAATTTGCACAATCATTAAGCAGCTAATTAAAAATGCATGTGAAAGGCCATTACTGCTGGAATTTACATAAATGCGAAGAATTAGTCCTTCATTGAGCTACTTTACAGGATAATCCATAAAAGACTGCAGGAAATTATAAAACAAGACACCGGTACTCTCTTCTTCCAAGAGTTTTACTGTGCAAAAAGTTCCATAAGTCATTTCAGATCTACGTATCAGCGAAAGAAAGCTCTTATTTTCTCTAATCTCATGTATCATTGTGGATCAGATTAGTCAAGCTGAGCTGTGCTGCTAGTGTTATTATTGTTGTTGTGTTTGGCAAATGCATGATTAAAAGTCTGGCAGAATGTAGACCACTTGAGTGTTTCTTTAAATCAGGATTAAAGAAAAAGTCAGATTTGACTTTTTACCACTAAAGATGAAAAAGAAAATCCTGACTAAAGTTGTCTAAATTCTGAAATTATTTCACTTTTTGTTTAGGAAAAAAATCACAAAATTCCAAGATTAAAGGGACTTTACAGAGTTTTGAATTTTTATGCTCGAGATTGCCCCCCCCCAGGCCAAAAGCGTAACGGCTGTTTCAATAGTAGGCTCGTGCACGAGGCGCGCATGCTGTACGTGCACACTCCTTAATAAAAACAACAGCTGAGACAGTCCCATGTGTGTGTGTGTGTGTGGCCCGGAGGACAGAGGACAGGAGAACGCGCAGCTAATTAATTAAATAATTTGGTTCTGTACCTTTCTCTTCAGTCCTCCTGCATGCTCAGATCATTCCCTTCCCTTGCTTGAAAAATTGTTCCAAAATGAAAGTTGAACCCACATCTTTTTTATCTGTGAATTCAATGCCGTTCGGCGAGTCTCAAATAAAAATTTGGGCATCTTACTGTAAAAAAATATACCATTAATGTAAAAAATAAACTCTAAATAAACTATGTTCACACCCAGAATCAAACCCGGTTCATCTGCACGAGAGTCTGACGTCTTACCAGGTGAGCTAGTAACATCTTTTGTATCTGTAATATTTATATCCTTGATGACAGCTGAAACAACGTTCAAAGAACGGTTCGGAGCGAAAATGGCTATTTTGTTGCTAATTTGCAGGAAATATCTAGAAGAAAGTAGCTAAGGGTCCTCAGAAATGTAGCTAGGTTCATCACTAGGCGTTAGGAACAGCAACAAAGTCGCTGAGTTGGCACTACCTCTCTCTCTGCTGCTAAAGCTACAGATAGCACATGCTACGGGCGATGCCTGAGCGTGAACGCGCATGAAGCAGCCTGCTCGACCCGAGCAGCTCTTTTTCTGTGATTTTACAGAAAAACAGGCAATCACAGTAAAAATGCCAGGGCTCATTCTACAGGACCAGGGCATTGCAGGAGAATGTAGGAAGAAGAAATTTATTATTTTTATACATGTTTTGGCTGTCAAACTTCCATAGGGTCCCTTTAAACAAACAAACAAAAAACAAGGAAAAAAAAGGGTCCACAAAGTTAATCTTTATGCACGTCTGTGCATAAAGGCTGTTGCCCTCCTACGACCTCCTCCATGTTTCCTGATGTACTGGCCTGTCTCCTGGTAGCCCCTCCATGGTTAAGACTCTATGCTGACAGACACAGCAAACCTTCTTGCCATAGCTTGCACTGATGTGCCATCCTGGATGAGCTGCACTACCTGAGCCACTTGTGTGGGTTGCAGTATCCGTCTCATGCTATTATTTATTGATGTCTTTCTAATTGCCTACAATTTCCACCTGTTGTCTATTCCATTTGCACAACAGCATGTGACATTGACTGTTAATCTGTGTTGTTTCCTAATTGGCCAGTTTGATTTCGAAGAAGTGTGTTATTGACTTGTGTTGTTTAACCCCCAGGCGTCATTAGGGACATTTTTGTCCATTTGGGCAGATTTTTGCTTTTCTTTTGGATACCATTTCACCACTTTTTGTGCATATGGTACAACATTTTGTTCCAAAACCTCTCTCCGGACAAGTTTAGAAATTCAATTTGAAATTTTGAAAATAGACCAAGGGAACACGATGAGAAAAATAACAAAATACTACCCTCTTGTGACCTTAGCAGACAAAAACGTCCCATTGGCACTAAATCATTTTTAAGACTTCAAGCGAGAGCTTTAACATTAATCTCAGTGATGTTTAAGTTAGAAACTTGACCAGTTTTTTATTTGACACCACTCTGCAGCCCTCTTCTGGTCAGATACTGCACTTAGTTTTGTGGAGCAGGGAGGTGCCCTATAAGGGGCAGCTCTTTTCCTGCTTTACGGCTGTTACGGCTAACAGTGACATGACAAAGTCATGTCACTGTTAGCTTTTTCCGTTTGCCAATTGTCAGTGAAAAGCACAAAAAGAAAAAGAAGTTTGCTTTTTTGTTGGCATCATGGTGGAGCCCGGAAGTAAATGTAAGACAGTATTGTCTTTGGAGGTAACGCAAAGAGCTAAAACCAGAGTGAACATCGGTAGTTTGAGGGAGCTAAAGGCTACAAAAATCAGACTGATGATCTGGCTTTGCTGCTTGCAAGTAATAATATTTTTGTCCAACAGTGTGGATCTTTTGACTTTGTGGTTTATTTTAGTGTTAGCTCATTGTTCAGGCTGCAGCAGGATGATATACAACTGCTGTAATTTCATTTTCATTTTCAACCAGTAGAGTGGAGGAGCAGGAAACTGCTGTGTTACTCTTCCACCGTTGCCCTAATATCATTTTAAAATAATGAAAACAAAGAACATCTAGAATAACACATAACAACAAGCATCCAGTTATAACTTTTAATGGGTTTGGAAAGAAGCAAACTAAGTTCCTCGGTTCTTTTTAGCATCATAATGTTCTGTACAAACAGCTCACACGTGTTTGAGGTTAACGGTACAGAATGAAAAAGCATTCTGGCTTCTAGCACACATAAACACACTCCCTGCTCTCCTCCTAATGATAATACAAGGTAAGTGACATTCAGCACAAGTCATTTCAGCGCCACCCATCATCAAACCAGCTTCATCCTTTAGTGATGACTCGTCACAGAGATGAAGAGCTGGAAACCCTAAAAAGGTCTTTGAAAAGACGTGTTTGGTGATTGATGATGGGTAGAGACTGTTGCACTAAAAGCTTCACAATTCATAAGAAAAATTAAACGTCCTGTCAGACATGTAGTCATCCGGTCAACACAGAGAAAACCAAACAAACCAAAGAACAACCAGGAGCTAAATGGCACCAATCGTTCATCACTGCCTCACTTTTAAAATTCATCTTCAGTCTGGATCTTCACCACACATAAGTCAGATCAGAACAAAGATTTCATTAACGGCACAGTCCAGATCTGAAATCACAACAAAGATTTCTGAAACAAACCATCTCTATTTAAAAGTACTTAATACTCGGAGTACTGCTGTGAGCTTGAAGTTTCCCCCAGATTCAGCCACAAGAACGTGATTGGTTACATTTAGCAGAATGCAGACACATGGTACAGTACACAGATTTCTGACTACACGTCACACATACTTTGTTCTTCATGTTGAGTTTCAGAGCATTCAGGAAGTTGAACATCATCAGCACAGTGTTTTTTTTCCCACATTGTTAAACAAGATATATTTTGTTTTGTTTTTATGCATGTTAAAAATATTAATTTTTCTTTTTCTCTGTCTTTCTGGGCTACACACACACGTAAAATAAAAAACAAACAAAAAAAAAAAAAAAACATTTTGGTCACACTCTTGTCTCACAACTTCATTCAATTTGCGTCATCTCACAGAGACCGTTACATTTATGAAAAATAAAGCCATGAATCTAAGCGCTGGTAGGAGGATCGGGGCGTGCACGTGATGTATTCTGGGAGTTCAGGTTCCAGTGAGGTGAATAAAAACAGAACATGAGTTTAACTGGTGAATTATCGTCAAAGTTGTTTGAGATTATGGTTGGAATAAAGAATCTGACTTGTCTCAGTAAACAAATCCTGTTCAAGTAAGGGTACCACAATCACCAAATGTCATCACTGCAGCTGACAAACAACAGATTGTTTTCTTCGTCGTATTTAAATAAACAGCTCGACATTTGGGGAAACACACAATCAATCAGTGTGTGCTAAAACACAAAGCTTCACATTAGCTTATCTTAGCATAAAGACCGTAAAAAAAAAACAACAACAAAAAACATCGAGCCCAATCCATATGATTTCACTCTGAACTTACAACCATTAACACCAGTGATAGCATGTTTGTTGGTGCAAACTTATCTTACAATGAGCACTTAGTAAAATAAAAAAAATCCTGGTAAAAACACGATTATTTTTATCGTATTTATGGTTGAGTCAATTATTTTGGGTTAAAACAAAAGAAGGTGGACTGAACTGCACGCCCATTATTTAGTCTCTATATCTAAAAATCCATTAAACTTTGGAAACTTTAAGGTGCATGTTACAACTTGGTATTAATAATTTACTATGAAGCAGACTTATGTCTCATTTATTGATATTTAAACCTGGACAAATGAAAAGAAACAAGTGTGTTAACAAGAGCTGCATTCCATTTGGAAAAAGTCTGTCGGTAATAATTCTTTTGCAGAACGCCGTCTCGTACCTGCAGACATGGAACCCAACTCTCATTTACACACCTGTCTAGACCTAATGGGAGTTTTGCTGCTGGTGGCAAGTAATTATTCAACTATTGAATAGAAACCCAGTCTTTATGCTAAGTGAACGGTTTCCAAGCAGCTACAAAAAGGTCAAACTTTTCACAGTGTAAAGCTTTTATTTTGAAAGTTTCCTTTCTCCTAAACCAGGTAGCCCCAGTAAAACCTGTGCTGGTTGCTGCTGTGGTTCTGCTCAGAGTCGTTCAGCTGCTTCCCAGCCAGCGTCTGATTCTGTGGATCTAAAGCCTAGTTTATGCTTCTGCGTCAGCACAGAGACACATAACGTCATTAACCGTCTTTGCAAGCCTTGCTGGAGAGACCTCGCAAAGATGGACGGAGAGTGCAAGCCTGTGACTGGTCAGGACGCCGCTTTCGTCAACAGCACCGCCACTGGGCTCTCAAAAACATAAAGAAAGCTGAGGGTATCTAGCGGCAGAAACGGAGCTGCTTAAAGAATATCCTGTGGAAAAACTCTAAAAAATATGAAAGTTTTATTCACCCATGGCTGGAGGAATAAAAAGCAAGCGTTTTTTTTACGTGGACGGAAATGACGGGAAACGTGGGTTTAGAGGTGGCGAGTGCATGAGGAGGTGGAGGAGAACGAGACAGATTTGTCCGTGTTAAAAAGTTTCTGAAATACAAAAACACAATAGTAACTGCTCTACCTTGGACCAGATTCATGACAGGATACCCCAGAACAGTGCTACACCCTCTAGTGTCCTGGCGAGGAATTGCTTTGCAACACGCCCCAGGAGACAGAGAAGTCAAAGAGCAAGACATCTCTGTCAGTGTGTGCGTCTCTCCCTTGTGGAGCTGACACAGAAGCGTAAACTTGGCTTAACCGCCAACACGTATAAAACTGATTCAGGAACAGTCTAATGAAAACAAGCAGCTGAAGGACCCAGCGATAAACCAGTAGGTAAACATCTACAAGTCCACGACGGGTTTGCTGGTTCGCTCAAACTTTCAAAATAAAACACAAACATTTAAAAATATGGAGTTTGTCTAACTCTACAATAACACTGCTTTCACAAAGCATAAAACAGCATCCAGGAAGATATTTATCATTTTCTTTAAATTACCCCCACCCCACCACCCATATATAGCTCAAATTTTCTGTTGCGCTTAAAAAATTATATCTGAAATAAATTAAAAAATTATACCTTATACTGTACACAGGTTACCCAACTACACAGATAACAAAAAGAGAGAGAGAGATCATTCAAATATACACATAAGGATTCTGATACCACTCAAATTCTATTCATATACAGAATCACATGTTTTATACAACAAATCGTTGTCTTCAATAAATAAAAATAGAATGCTGTCATGTACTCTGGTGTCTAACACTGCTGTCCCGGGAACAACAGAGATGCTATTCAACAATACAAGGAAAACACTGAACGCCCTTTAAGATACATATTACTGGTTTAAAATGACACTTTTTACACGTCTTTTGTTCTGAAGGAAACATTTTTTTAATTTTATTTTGAAACCAGTGAACTGACTCATCGCTGCAGCTGCCTCACAGGTTAAAATCCTCTCAGTGTGTGTGTGTATCAAAGAGATGTCAGTCACATGACCCTGTAATACCCGTGAATAATGCTTTTCTTGCAGCTAACTGATTCCATTAAATCCTCTAAAACCCAGTCCAATATTCTTTCTGTTTGAGTTTTTGGTTGCTGTCAGGCAGCTGCAGCTTGATTAATCCCTGCACCCTTTGACCAGAGGAGCGATGGAGACAAGAGGCACAGACGTTATAGAGAAAAGGGGCGAAGGAACCCAGGAGTCTGACTGCAGCAACACATGTGTTATGAGATAAAACAAAAACTAGAATTACACGACCTGAAACTTCCACAACGCTAGATGCAAGTTACACACAATACTGCTGGGGGCGCTGTGGAGCTGTTGTGTGGGTTCATGGAAGGGAGAGTCTGGTGTGAATCCGTCCCCTGGTCACGGTGCCCATCTCAAATCTACGACCGTCGTTTCGCCCACCAGTGCTGCTCTCAGTAGCACCGGTCAGTTGTCAGCCAAGTATTTTCCTAACAAGACAACAAAAGAAATCAATCATACACTGCTGAGTTTTACTGTTAACATAAAAGGTGCTACTCTCATTGTTTTACACAATTGAAGATGCAATATCTAAGAATGAAGTAAGAATGAGATCCTGTGGCCAGATTTGGCTACAGCAGCTCATTTTTCTGAGCAAAAAATAAATAAATCACTTTCTCACTACTTCTGGGTCGCTCCTGTTTACTGGCTTTGGTTCTCTGAAGCTTTTTGTCTGCCATGTTGAATTACCAATCCCGGCACTACAGCAGTAGCTTGGGGCAGACTTGTCAACCTCACAGACTCACAGATGTTAAAGGTGACTACGTTCCTTTTTGTTGTTTTGATAGAAGAAAACTGATAACCCCCCAGTCGACTGAGATGGAAATCTGTTCCAATGTAACCTTCCCTTTAACTCGTCTGAGGACTCTTACAATTGATGATAATTACAATTGTTTAGTGTCTTTCCACTTTTGAAGTTCTGGGAAACTTATAGGCGGGGAAATATGATGGCTCCTCTTGAACGTTGTGTCTCCATGTGAAAGCATCGCTTTCAAGGTAAGATATCAACATATCACAGCCGTTTCAGTAGTGAGTCACTGATCAGCATCAAAAGGCGTCCATGGACATCAACAACATTTAAAAAATGTTATTTTGTCAAAGTGCGCCGTAAGTTGATGCATTCAGGGGACTGGGAGAATAGTTGTGTGATGTAAAAAGCGGGACTCAATGACCAGAAGAAACACTGCTTTTTAAAGGCCTCAGTAGGAAACCACGAAGCAGCATACGGTTCAGTGTTGAGTGAAGATTTTCACTGTATTCTTCAGCGTTTGAAGTTTGGAAACGATGATCTTAAAGCAGCTTGAATGCTGCTTATTTTCTTTTTACGTACATACCACTTCACCCAATTATACAAATGTTGGCTGTTTGGCGATGTCTGCTGATATAATTTCCCACTGAGTTACAACCAATCAGCATGAGTTAATCACAAGCCCCGCCCAGCCACTCTACTGAGGTGACAGTCTGGTAAAATTATCAGGAAGTTCCAATAGTGGAAAGGGGCCTATTTTATGTGTAACAAGTAAACTATTTGTCTTTACGTTTTATAAAAAAATGGCTCGGTGACTGTTTCTCGCTGTATTTTATTTTTTTTATTTTTCATGTTTGAGCAGCAAAACATGTTTTAGTCTGCTGGTGTTTATTTTGAAAATGAAGCTGAAAATCAGCTGCTAAAACAAATTATATTCTTTGTGATCAGGCTTCAGAGTCACAGTGAAGACAGATCATTCAACATACTCAAGCTGACTTTCACTATAAATGTGGTCAAACTGATAAGTGCTGAAGTAATCAGGATACTTTGAACCATTTTAAGGGAACTTGCTGAAAGAGCTGAAAGTGTAAAGTTTCAAACCATGAATATTATGAGGGTTTAAAATTAATTTCTTTCTCTTTTTAGCAATATTTTGTTTTATTTCAGTGCTTTTTTATTACTTGTTCAACTTTTTGGCTTTAGTTATTTTTTAGATTTTTTAGACATTTTTATTTCCAAAATTCTGAGACCATGGCCTTGAGTCGGAAAAGGGGGGAATGCCTTCTGCGGGTAAGGGACGAGTTTCTGCCCCAAGAGGAGGAGCTTAAGTATCTCGGGGTCTTATAAACAAGTGAGGCAAGGATGGAGCGTGAAATCGACAGGTGGATTAGAGCTGCATCTGCAGTGATGCGGGCATTGTACCGGTCTGTCACGGTGAAGAGAGAGCTGAGTCGGAAGGCGAAGCTCTCGATTTACCGGTCGATCTACGTTCCTACCCTCACCTATGATCGTGAGCTTTGGGTAGTGACCGAAAGAACGAAATTGCAGATACAAGCAGCCAAAATGAGTTTTCTCTGCAGAGTGGCTGTGCTCTCCCTTAGAGATAGGGTGAAAAGCTTGGTCATTCGGGAGGGGCTCGGAGTAGACCTGCTGCTCCTCCACATCGAGAGGAGCAGGTAGAGGTGAGGTTTTCTGGACTCGTCCAACTGAGAGAAGACCTAGAGGAAGACCCAGGATACGTTGGAGCTACTACGTTTCTCGGCTGACCAGGGAACACCTTAGGATTCTCCCAGAGGAGCTGGCCCAGGTAGCTGGGGAGGGAGAAGTCTGGGCTACTGCCCCTGCAACCCGACTCCAGATAAGTGGCCGGAAATGGATGGATTTTAATGTTCGTTGTTTAAGCTGCAAATTAAGGCTTAGAGGCTTTTCAGTCACCTGACAAAGGCTTAAAATATTCACACAATCATTTGTTTTTAATTAGAACCAAAGATGCACACACCTCCCCTACAATCACAACCGACGTGTTTAAGTGACTGCGTGAGCATAACAGCAGGGCCTCGTGTCACTGACCTGCAGCAAACCTCTTCTTGATGAGGGAGAATCGGTATCCTGGTCCAGCCAGTTCAATGTCACATCCTGATAAGTTGCTGCCCTCGCTGGTGAACTGCACCGCCAGTGGAGCCGGTTTACTGGGACCATCTGTTAGCTGGAAACGTGCTAGCAAGGACCCCACACCTGGAGGAGGAAAGTGAGTTTAGTAGTTTTTAACTGATTTTAATGATCCTGCTGATTATTTTTACCATTTCTTTATAACTTATGAGATTTAACGTTTCATTTATCTTATTAGCATTTTGGTAAGTTTGGGCACTTTTAAAATGCTTTACAAATAAAGTTGACTTGGCTCGGTACAATCCAGGCACATCTAAAAAAATTGAAATATTGTGGCCTAAGTTCAACATTTTTGTCACTCTTTCAGAAAGTAAAGCTCAAATATGATATAGTTTCTTGAATCTGCACCGAAGGGCCTTGAGTGTGTTGGTGCTTGTTTTGTCTTCTTAAACTTTTGCTTTGCACTATCTTCCATTGGGAAAAGAGAAGGAAACTCATCTGTGGGTTATCCTGTTGTCTAGTAGCTCCGGTTTTGGCCAAGTGAAAACAATGAGTGCAATCAGGGGCTGTGAACGAGCCGTTTCTCCCCTCCCTGAAAACACTCATCAGGTGATCTAGGTCTCAACCATTGCAATCAGCTGCTGCATGAACACCTGTTTCCAACTAGTAGCACAGCATAAGTTTGGTGGCATAACTGAAGCGTCAGCAGAAGTGTCAGCCCTTGTGTCTCAGCCCCTCTGGTGTGAAGACATACGTGTCTACCTGCGCGTGTCCACAGAGCACACAGAGCAGGTACACAGAGCACACAGAGCAGGTACACAGAGCACACAGAGCAGGTACACAGAGCACACAGAGCAGGTACACAGAGCACACAGAGCAGGTACACAGAGCACACAGAGCAGGTACACAGAGCAAACAAACTTGACCCAGACGCTGCTCCATCGACACCTTGCAAAATGTGCCATTATCCTATACCTGTGATCACTAGCTTCAGAGGAAGGTCACACACAGCAAACCGCTTTCGCAACCTTCAAAACCTCTGCTCGCTAAAACCAACTCCGCCCGAAGACACCCACCCGTCTATGGGACTTTGGAACTGCCAATCAGCTGTAAACAAAGCTGACTTCATTACCGCATATACAAACCACCTGTCACTCGATGCACTGGCTCTCACTGAGACCAGGATCAAACCATGTGACAATGCTGCCCCATCTGCTCTCTCAATTAACCACACTTCACGTGCATCTGGCCGAGGTGGTGGAACGGGCATGTTAATTTCCAACAAATGGATATACAGTCAGTTGCTACCCATCACTAAATACAACTCCTTTGAATACCATGGCATCTAGGTAACTGTACCAAAAAAAATCGTTTTAATTGTCATATATCGCCAACCAGGTCAACTCGGAGACTTTTTTTGATGAACTCAACACCCTGCTCTCCTCCATTCCTGAGCACGACTGTCCCACAATGGTCCTTGGAGACATGAATATTCAGCTGGACAATCCCAGCTCATCAGGCTTCCTGTCACTAATGTCATCATTTGATCTAAAACTAGTACAAAGTCCTCCAACTCACAAAGCTGGAAAAGCACTCGACCTCATTTTCACCAGAAACTGTGCCATAGACACAATCTCTGTCACACCGCTGCATCTTTCTGATCATTACTTCATCCATTTCAGCCCAACTTTACATGGGAGGTCCACTGCTTCCTCCCCAATGGTCTCATTCCGCCGCAACCCTGGCACCCAACCACTTCTCCTCTCTTGTTGCCTCCACTCTTCCATCTCCCAGCACATTCTCCGCTTATGAAGTGAATGAGGGCCACTCCACTGAAACTGTTCTGTTAGTTAGAGTGACTGCCAGATCTTCAGTGCTTATTCTGCTCGACTTATCGGCTGCATTTGATGCTGTCAACCATGGCTTCCTTTTGTCCACACTCTCTAGCATGGGCATCACAGAGAAAGCACACGCCTGGTTTGAATCGTACCTCACAGGACAATCATTCAGTGTATCTTGGCTTGGACAATCCTCTTCCGTGCACCATCTTGTCACAGGAGTCCCCCAGGGCTCTGTACTAGGACCTCTTCTCTTTGCCATATACACCACCTCACAGGGTGAGATCATTCGATCATTCGATCACATGGCTTAAGTCTCGGCCCGGCCGCTCCGGTCATTACAGGATCGTCGGCTAGCAGTGCCTATACCATGCTCAGGACAATCCAGACTCTTGTCATGCATCGTTCCATAAATGTGGAATGACCTTCCAAGCACTACCAGAACAGCGGCTTCCTTTTCAATTTTCAAGAAACTCCTGAAGACGCTGCTCTTCAGAGAGCATCTTCTTAACTAGCACCTTCCCCGCACCCGTCCCCCCCTCTCTACCGTCCACTCCTTTGTTCCCTCCTCTCCATGATTGATGTCAAGTTGTTGTTATTGTTGTTGTTAGCCTCAAGGGCAACATGCCGATTATCACTTGTATGTCGCTTTGGACAAAAGTGTCTGCTAAATACATAAACATAAATATGGCTTCTCCTACCACTGCTATGCAGCCGACACCCAGTTCTATCTGTCATTTTCACCAGACGACCACACTGTCTGCACGAATATCAAACTGTCTCTCTGACATATCAAAATGGATGAAATCCCACCATCTCCAACTCAACCTCTCTAAAACTGAACTACTTGTCATCCCAGCAAAACCATCCATACAGCACAATATCTCAGTCCAAAATGACTTCCCATCTTTGGCTCCTTCAAAGGCAGTTCGAAATCTGGGTGTTGTGATTGATGAACACCTGACCTTTAAAGATCATGTTGCCTCTGTTGCTCGTTCATGCCGCTTTGCGCTGTATAACATACGAAAGATCAGACCATACCTAACACAACATGCCACCCAGCTCCTGGTGCAATCTACTGTCATCTCCCGCCTCGATGACTGCAACGGCCTTCTAACTGGTCTTCCAGGCTGTACTGTGAGACCTCTTCAAATGGTCCAGAACGCAGTGGCACGTCTGGTCTTCAATCAGCCAAAAAGAGCACATGTCACCTCTCTGTTCTTTGAGCTCCACTGGATACCGCTAGCAGCACGCATCAAATTCAAATTGCTAACACTAGCATACAAAGTCCGCGATGGTACGGCTCCCATCTACCTGAATCCTCTTGCAAAGGCTTACGTCCCGGCTCAGCTGCTCCGGTCATCACAGGACCGTCGGCTAGCAGTGTGTACACCACGCTCAGGACAATCCAGACTCTTCTCATGCATCGTTCCACAAATGTGGAATGACCTGCCAAACGCTACAAGAACAGGAGCTTCCTTTTCGACTTTCAAGAACCTCCTGAAGACCCTGCTCTTCAGAGAGCTTCTTCTAAACTAGCACCCTCCCTGCACTCATCCCCTTCTTTACTGTCCACTCCATGATTCATCATGCTGCCTCACTGCCACCCACGACTGACTGGAAGTTGTTTGTTGTTGTTGTTGTTATTGTTGTTGTTAGCCTCAAGGGCAACATGCCGATTATAACTTGTAAGTCGCTTTGGACTAAAGCGTCTGCTAAATACATAAACATAGTTTCATTTCACATGCAGTTAAATATTTTAGGTCCTCATTTCTTAAAATGTTCATAATTGTGGCTTTCAGGTGAGGAAAAACCCTAAATTCTAGACCGCTGTGAAAATATTAATTATTCTGTCACTCCCTAATCAGCTAATTCATTGAGAACTTAAAAACTACATTGTGAGGGAGCACGTCAACTCATCAGAGCCTGCAAAGCCAAAACCTTGGTGTTGGGTGTATTTAAAGCATGCACACTGAAGACACGGGACAAGAAATCAGTTTTTGTGATGCACAAATAGAAAAAATACCATATGTGTAAATGTTCTACATATGATCTATATAATATGTAGATACATATCACTGTGTGGATAACAACGTTCATAGTGTAAATGTAATGCTGCTATCAGACAGAAGGAGGCACCGATCTCCTAGGAACCCGTTCCCTTGACACTTAATACGCTGAACTTTTCCACTCTGGCCTGATTAACTGCCTCCACCATCCTTGGTGATGAATCTAGTTCAGCTCCAGGTGTTCCTACTTATGGCTTCAACTCAGAGAGACCATCCGTTCTCTAGTTTTCATATTTTAACTTTGGCCAGTAACTATATTTAGAGTGTGTGTATCATTTTAGCTGTTTAAAGTACATTTGAAAAAATGTTGACGTCTTTCCAGGGTTGACAACTTTTACTTATTCTATGTGTCTGACATTTTAATAATGTAATCTGTTATTTTTTCAGGTACAGGTTAAAAACCAACATTTACAGCCGGGGGTAAGACAGCTCTTAAGCTTACCTCCGTTTTCAGATTTTTGTGAGATATCAGGGATCTTCCAGAGGATTCTTTGCTGCTCTGCATTCCTGTCAGAATTAGACAAAGAGAAACTCCTCGTTTTTGGAACTACTTAAGTTTCACATTCAAAACATGAAGAACACTTTTGTTTTTTCTCAAGTTTTCTATTAGGATGAAAACTACAGTTCTGTAAAACACTTAAAAAAATAAAGCAGCATTAAAGACCAGCTTTACTCATATTTTCAATACATTTACAGTGGTTTCTGGTACAAATGAATGCCTTGTAAGTAGTACTCTGGGGGAAAAAAAGCTCCGGTGCACCTGTTTGAGGAGCTAAAAGTGAGCCAGGTCAGAGGAGAGCTTCAGACGACAGGATTTGTAGTTATATTTTTCTGATATTTGGAGATCTCTCCTCTGATTGGCTAACAGCAACACAACTCTACCACTGACTTTGTTTGCTTTGCAATGTAGATGTTTTATCTTCACAAATAACTCAAGCCTGAAGGAGTTCTGCTGTGTGGTGGAGTCGCTAATGCTATTGGTTAGCTTTTACTAGCCAAGACACACTCTGCTGTTCCTGGATGCTAAACCAAGAACAGCCTTTCCCGTGACGAGCCAAGATGGGGTAGTCCATGAATGTCAATTTTCAGTGTGACGTAGAACCATCACGCTTTTAAAATCGTAAATCAGAAGCTAAAGCAGGACATAGGTGTAGGAGACTATTTTCATGTTCAGCCTGCATGAAAAACTCAGAGTGACCAATTATAATCAGAAATAACAATTAAAAAAATGTTTTTTCAGTGAAGTTGACGTTTAAACCACCATTTTAAATAATCAGAATGGGCCGTACCATGCAGCCGGGGGTAAGACAGCTTGTAGTTTGGAGACACTTCCGTCCACAGGGACAAGGAACTGGACGTTATTGAGCGCCATTGGCGTCGTCATGGCCTCCCCGTTGTATTTGTAGTCTATCCTCAGGTTGGTGCTGGTGGGCTCACACCTCCAGCTCACCGCCAGGCTCAGAGGAGTCGACTGGAGACCCTCCGTCGATACCTAACCGAAGATCATAACGTTAATTCATTTATTGAAACCCTGCTGAGTCACGATCAACAGAACTGACTTCAAAGCTGGTTTAACCTGATACTTGAGCATGTCCACATTGTAGTAGGTTGCTTGTGGTTTCTGCTCCGACACCTTCTTTAAATGTGATATCAGGTTTGGCATGTTCACCCAGAAGTCCTTGGCATCGGACTTGGCTTGTGTGGTGGTGTCGCTGTTGGTGTGGAAAACAAGAACCAGTGAGCTTGTGTGGCTTTTTAAAGAATTTTCACTCACAATTTGTAAAAAAGTAGAAATCCAGAAACGAAAAGTAAAAAAAAAGAGGCATTTTCACAGAAATCCCTTAAGAAATCGGCAGTTTAAAGATGGAATCAACATTTTCATTTTATTACCCAAAGCACCCAAGTAGCAAAGTAATCCTTATTATTAACATTTGTGCAACACAACACGGCAGAAACAAAGAGAAAATCTACCCGACATGAAGATGACTCTGCACTCAGAGTTAAAATGATTTCAGCAGTTTGCTCATCCTCTGAGTTCATCGTTTAACCTATTAAGACCTGGTGCAGCAGCGTATGAGTTAATCATAGTTATATTTATAGACGATGCATCAGACCTTAATGGGTTTAACAGCCTGTGAATGATTAATCAGCCCAATCATACAAAGTTTGACAGCTTTAGAACCGACGCCACAACACTAAACAACTTGTCGTTTGTTTTTAATCATTGATGCTAAAATATATTTAGTAATAAAATTACTTTTTGCATCTCAAAGACTCTAAATGTGAATTTTTACACATTATAAACAGGCTGTAGAGTAAAACTCCACGTCTGACTGGGTGTCAGAGAGGTTAGAGTTTTGTTAAATATTTAGGGTGAATTTTGAAGTTAGATATTTTCATTTATCCCCTATCTGAGATTTATTTGTGCTTCAGAGCGATAAAACGGAAACAGGTGTGAGTTGACGGTAGTGAGGACTTTACCAGCAGAGCAGCTGGGGGTTAGGCAACACGTGCTCCAGTCGGCTGTAGTTGGTTATGCTGAAAGTTAGAACGGCGGGGGACGGGTTATTGGCAAAATGCCGCGTGATTCCCGCCGGAAACGATAAAACCATCTCACCTATGATCTTCACAGCACACCTAAAGAGGAAGAGGAGGGTAGATTATCCATAAATAAACTTTGAAAGGCAGTTTGTCTAAATTCTCACATGCCCTGGAAAACTGCCATAAAAAGTCACGATTTAAACACCACAAAACTATTAAAGTGCTGGTAGGATGAGTAACATGTAGAATCAATAATCTCAATATGAACTCTAATAAGCAGGGATGAATAAATACAAGCCTACAGGAAAAAGCCATGATCAATACAGGAATTGATGCAAGAAATTCATTAAGAGCTTTCATTCAAACTCTAATATAAAAGTAATAATAAAATAATGAAAATAAATAGACATACCATACACTGTGGACACGTCTGCAGTGGATTGCATCCAATTGAAGACCAAGTTTACTTGTTGTGTCAGCAAATTTGCAGTGGTCTCTACTGTTAGAGCCGATTTCTATGGAAAAAAGCTCTTGCGCTCCTGTTTCAGGATTCAGAAGTGAAGCGGAGCAGAGCTGAGCTTTGAAATTTGAGTCCAATTTCCTGATATTTGGACATCTCTCCTCTGATTGTTTAAAAGCAATATGACTCTACCACTAACTCAGTTTGCCTTGCAACATGGATGTTTTATTTCCACAAATAACACAAGCCTGAAGGAGTTCTGCCGTGTGGGGGAGTTGCTAATGCTAACGGTTAGCTTCTACTAGCCAAGACACACTGCTGTTTCCTGGACTCTAAACCAACAACAGCCTTCCCTGTGGCAAGCCAAGATGGGGGAGTCCATGATCTGATTTGCTTTTCTAATCTGAGCATTTCCACTTCTTTTTTCACTATGGCTAGTTTAGAAAATAGGTGTAGAAGACTATTTACACTTTTAGACTGCATTTGAAACTCAGAGTGATGTATTATAATAACAAATAAAAAACTTTTTCTCAGTAAACTTGGTCTTTAACACTGCATGACTGTTACAGATGAGATGGTTCATTTGATGAAAACAATAAAGAAGTAAATTATTTTTTAAATGTAAACAATTCTGCTGTAATCAGAATATGTGTGTGTGTGTGTGTGTGTGTGTGTGTGTGTGTCAGGATGTACTTGCTGGGGTCAGCTCCCTTAAAGAAAGCGTTGACTGTCTCTGTGAATGCAGCAGCTACTGGGAGTGTGTCCTGAGCGCCCATGGTGAGAGGACTAGGTCCTCGGGAGCATCCTAAAGGCAACAGAGAGAGACACAAACATATTTTAATCTAGAATCAAATATCTATAATTTACAATGAATCAAGCTTAAAGTTCTTTCAAATACATGTAAAAAAAATCAAACTCCTGCTTTGATTTTGAGATTACAATTTCAGTGCAAAATGAAAAATACACACATGCCAATAAAAGTTCATCAATTATGATAAAAACTTTCAGGCCAAGACTTTACACTCTTCCTATCCAATAATGGAGGGAGGATATGAGAACAAAACATGAGGAAACTACAATAATGGACCAATATGACATGTTTATCCAACATGAACACAAACACTGAGTTAGTAAACGTGGAACGGCAAATTTTGTGCACAACGGACACATTTCTCTCTGCTCTTTGACTGTGAAACGTCAAACATTCTTCTTAGGTATGATTTTCTTGCAGAATGTTCTAAAGATATTTGTGAACACGCAGTGCTAGATTAGAAAAGAAGAGAGAGAGGCAGACCACTAAAAAGACATGCCGTTTCCAGATGCACAGCTGAAGCACTCTGACGAGATCAGAAGGAAGCCAGAAAGCTTAAAGACTGAACCAAAAAGAGCAAGAAGACCAGCGGGGGGATGACAAAGTGATTAGTAAAGTGCACAAAGAAAGATGAGTCTTCTTGGATGAAAAATAAAGCTGAACGTTTTAACATCGGACATTTGAAAGCAGATGGGGAGAGGTTAAAGGTCAAAAGTTAGCATGGTGAGGGTATCGAGATGGAGGGACTGAGAGGGAGAAGGATAGAAGAAGGGTGGGGCAGTGGAGAGGGTGAAGGTTGCACAGATGAGCCTTGGAGGAGTGTGTGCACACTACCCTGGTGTGGAGCAAACTTACCTTCAAAGGTTAAATAAAACTTCCCTCTGTCAAACCAAACAAGGGATGGCTGGTCATTCTCTGTGTGGAGTGGAGGTGGGGTGTAGGAGAGAAGGGCGAGGAGGTATAGGGATGGAGAGGGAGGGAGGTGGGTGAGGAGAGGAGAGAAGGACAGAAGCATGAGTCTCACATGGTAGGTCTATTGGACATCATGGTGAGGTGTGATGTTGGGATGAAGACTGGGTGAGGGGGGATGAGGGGGTGGGGTGGCATAAGATGCATGATGAGGTGGTGTTTGTGGACTCCTGCAGGCTTGAGACGAGGTTTGAGCTCAGTAGACTGAGTGGGGGTCAGACGTGTGGTTCTGGACTGAGACGAAGTCCAGAGGTAACACTTTCCAAGTTTCAATGATACTAAAACAACTTCCCTCTAATTACAAAAGATGGCTGCTATTCCTAGACAGGCCCTGTAGATGGCACCCATGACACCAAATCCAGCGTTCAGAAGCACAAGAAAGTGCTGCATCACTCATTTCTGAGGGTGAATAGATGACTATTAAGCTGGTCTTAAAAAAAACCTGGGGGGGGGGGCAACTTGTAAGCCCACCTTCAGAGAGACCAAAAACTACATTTACAAACCCTGACATACTCCAGAAATGAATGGTTCCAAAATAAAGCTCCCATATCAGCAAACTAAGCAAACAAAAAATCCTCTAAAGTTTTCCACACATAGATCACAAGTCTCTTCACTAAAGGCAAAATGTTCTCTAAAAATTTTGGAAAATTCTGACTTTTTTTAAAGATGACATCCATCCATCTATCCATTTTCCTCTGCTTATCCGGGGTCGGGTCACGTGGGCAGTAGCCTAAGCAGAGGGGCCAAGACTTCCCTCTGACCAGCTATTTGAGCCAGCTCTTCCGGAGAAATCCTAAAGCGTTCCCTGACCAGCCGAGAAACACAGTCCCTCCAGCGCGTCTTTCTTCAGCCACTACCCAAAGCTTGTGGCCACAGGTGAGAGTAGGAACATAGATCAACTGGTACATCGACAGCTTCGCCTTCCAGCTCAGCTTTCTCTTCACCACAGCAGCCCGGTACAACGCCCACATCACTGCAGACGCAGCACAAATCCATCTCAAACTCTAGCTTTCCTCCACTTGTTAACAAGACCCCAATATAAAGTTAACATCCCATTGTCATCATCACACACTGGTGAATTTCATCTCCGCATTTTACCCATCCTCATGGAGGGGAGTGGTGAGCTGCAGCTAGGCTCGGGAACTATTTGGTTGTTTAACACCCCAATCGAACCCCCTTAAAGCTGATGTCAAGCAGGAAGGCACTGGGTCCCATTTTTAAAGTCTTTAGTAAGACCCGACCGGGAATCGAACCCTGATCTCCCAGTCCCAGGGCAAACGCTACCACCAGGCCACTGAGTGATATACTTAAACTCCTCCACTTGGGGCAGGACCTCGTTCTTGATTTGGAGAAAGCATTCTACCCTTTTCCAACTCAAGATTACAATCTTGGATTTAGAGGAGCTGATTCTCATCCCAGCCTCCCAGCCGCTGTCACACTCGGCTGCAAACCGCTCCAGCAAAAGCCAGAGATCATGTTCTGATGAAGCCAACAAGACCACATCATCTGCAAAAAGCAGAGACCTGATCCTCAGGCCACAAAAACGGATGCCCTCAACACCTTGGCTGCGCCTAGAAATCCTGTCCATAAAGATTATGAACAGAATCTGTGACAAAGGACAGCCTTGGAAGAGTCCAACTCTTGAAACGAGCTCGCCTTACTGCCGGCAATGCGAACCCAGCTCTGGCACCGGTCACACAGGGACCTAACGGTCCGTATCAGCGGGCCTGTTTGGTACCCCCTACTCCTGAAGTATGGGGGGTACTTCGGGAGTATGGGGTACCAGACCCTGGTACCAGACAAGGGCCCCCAGAGGGACACAGTCGAATGCCTTCTCCAATTCCATAAGACACACGTGGCTTGGTTGGGTGAACTCCCACATACCCTCCAGGACCCCCCTAAGTGTATAGAGCTGGTCCAGAATCCTTGCCATAGAATCAAAAATAGTTTATTTTATACAATGAAAATAACATTTTTGTTTTGTTAAAGCTGCAATCCAGAATTCTACAGTCTATAAAAACACATTACAAATCTCTTTGCATAAAATCTCTGTCACACAGAGCAATCTCAGGAGCTCTATTCTAGAGAGTTTCAGTACCTTCCAGAATGAGCCATTTCATAGATCTCTCAATTAAAAAAAAACAAGCTGTTGCTGGCCACGCCCACTTATCCCCAGTTTGGCTTCTATTAGCTGGGAAGCTCCAATATCAGGAGGGGCTCAGATTAGAGTTGCTGCTCCCCCAGCCTGAAGGACATTTGTGACATCACAAACAGGGAAATTCTGAAACGGAACATTATTCCTGATCTTGACAGAAAACAGACCCACAAAAGGTGGGTTTTGCATATTATGTCCCCTTTAAAAGTTGAGAGGTTTTAGCAAACTTTGGAAAAATAACCAAATTATAAAAAATATGTATATAAAATATTATTTTCTACTTTTACATGGTGAACTTCATAGCAAAAAGAACACTGCACTCGTCTGAACGGTAAGCTCAGTCTTGTGACTCCTCCCCTCTCCTGGGACTTCTTTTGATGCTATACATCTTCGTCTCTCCTCCCCCTGCCACACTTGGTGAGGAGTGTGGTGTCTTGGTCTGCCAGAGTGTTCGTGGCTCACAGGTCAGGGGGTTTAAGATTTTTGGCTTCTGCCTGATCAATCCCAGTGGCTGCCTGGTGGAATCTGGGTCCCTGGGCTCTGCTGGGTCTCTGGCGGGGATGGTCGCTCCTGGGTCCTGGGCTCAGCCGGCTGCTGGTTGTGGCCTCGCCGAGGCGATCCTCTGCGCCTCTCGAGGGGGGCAGGGGCTTTTCTGGTCGCAGTCTCCTTGGGGTCCCTGTGCTCTGGGGCAGCTCCTGGATCTCTGGGACGTGGAGCTCCCTCCATCTCCTATGCATCTTTGGGGGGCAGATCTGTGGCCCCTCACACTCTCTATTGGACGCTCCTATAGAGAAACCTTACATAAACAAGCGCATGTACACACACATGTGCTCACATGGTGCTCTCATAAGTATGGACTTGGGCACGCTCAACACAGGTCTTAAGACTATGGTTGGCACTAAATGCACTGTGATTATTATCGTGAGATTGTTCAGTAAAACAATGTTGATTTTATATTTCTTTATCAAGTTGACGCAGTGATAGCTTGCTCCTGTTGTATTGTTGTGTGTCCCTTTTCTGCAGGTCTAGAAGCAGACTCTTGTTCATCATTGATTGTTTACTTTTGTGAACCCCCCACCCCCGCCACCCCCGCCTTATGCCTCGTCCTTTCTCTTTCACCTCTGTCTCAGTGTCTGGTCAAAATTAAAAAGCATTCAAAAACAATAACAATAAAGTTTTAAGTATCAGGAGTGACATTAAAAGCAGACGCTTTGATGCTCCACCTGAGAGTAAATCTGTAAGGCTTGTCACCAGCATTCAGACATCAATTCTGTTTGCTTCACAGCGAGACAGGACACGGGAGAAAAAAAAAAGAAGCTCGGTCTTGTGTGCTGTTAACTGAATCATTAGTGTTGGGCGATGGAACAAGAGTGGTGGCGGCGGTTGATGGCATGAGAGTAACAGGTGTGACAGGTGGGAGTCTAGGGTCAAGTGTGAGAGCAGAAGGTGTTGTCACGAAACGTTTGAGAATTCGGTAAACTTAAACTCTGTGTCACACACTCGTCGTAACGAGAAGGTGTCCTGAATACCAAACAGATGCTTGTCAGATTCAGCCTGATTCTCACAGCAGACATTGGGCTTTCATCTGGCTCTATAAGTGGGACATGTGTGTGTTTTGAAACTGTGAGGCTCTCAAGAATCCACGGATGAGGAGCTCTTCAGACACACTCACTGAACACACAGGCATACACGTCATGGGGGTTAAAAAATGAAAGCAAAGGTATCCGGCAGAGGCTGTGCTGCACAAAAAAACAAAAAAAAAACTGTCGCATAAATAAAGATGGGAGGTTGCCATGGTGACATGGCAAGAAAGTCACGGGTGCACAGTCATAAAACAGAGTGAAAAGTATCACAGGCAGACAGATGGACAAAAAAAGGAAACACTTTAGAAAACTTTTTCTAAATAAATCTTTCAGAAAGTGATGATGGATTTGCTTTTCTCTCTAAAATATATAATAAATAATAAATGAGTAAGAAACAAAAAGATGATGTGTACATAGAAGAGATCAAGTGTGTGGACATTGTGTGGGAAGGTATGAGCTGGCAAAACAATGAAAATGGTTTCACTGAAAAGTGCTGCCACATTCAAGAGGGGAGAAAAGAACATGTGATGTGCCCCTAATCTGAGTGAAAATGGAGGTAGTGAAACAACAACAGACTTCGTAGACCTTATAATCAGGTGTGTGTTTTATCTGCAAGGATTAAAGCTGCATTATGTCATTTTTGTTAACCCTCTGGAGGCAGGCGTTGCAGATTTGCAACAGTTAAAACCTACCTACCTGGTAACTCCACACACGTATTTCATGAGCATTTTTAAACTCAGAAGTACCTCTGAAGGACTTAGTTGTTCGTCCTTTTATCAAAACTTATTTTGAGCCTAAGAGGGTTAAAATAAAACAGTTTTCTATATCCAGTAACTCCTGACTGTATGACTACATCTAGTACTTTTTGCCACCATAGGGAGCCTAAGTCCCGCCCAACTACTTATGGACCATTTGTCCCTGGAAGAACGAATAAATGAATGCAAGTTAATGGGGCTAAACATTTTCTATTTGTGCTTGTTTTGTGTCATGGTTTTTACATGAGATGTCCGTGAATTGTAAAGAAGCATTTTGATACCCAGAAAGTGCTTATTTTCAAATGGGGGGAAACGTTATTTTAGATTTTGTGTGAAAATAAGTCCAGGACTACAAATGTGCTTCACGAAAGTGACGTCATCGAACCAGACACGGTAAAAAATGGAGGGGAAAACGGCTGTAAGTTCAGCGAAGCCTTCCATCAGAGGGAAAGAACCACGTAAATCTGGTCATTTGGTAAGTAGCAGCTACGCTAGGGGAGAGGAGGTAATGTGGAGACGTCGTATATGTGCTGATGTCTGGTTTGTAGTCATGCTAATTACGAACTTTTACAAGCTGATAAATCTCAAAATACGTGACTGGCGTGGCCGAAATGCCCATCATTAGTTTTCATTTAAATTGCAGTACAACATATGTGCGATCCAGGGCCTAAGGCAAAGCGGATTAGAAAATAGCATTTTTAGCCCCGTTGACTTACATTCATTTTTTCCGTTCTTCCGGGGACCCGTGAGCTGACCGGAAAAGGGGGAGACTTAGGCTCCCTATTGCATGTAGAGGTACTGATTACATGTAGTTTGAAAGGGTTCGGGCTGGTACCACATTATGAGAGCACGTGCCGAGACGTAAGCATCCACGAGGAGGATGTGTTCTTCTTCCCTTAGATAAGCTAGGTTAGCCTCTGGAAACGTACATTTGAAGATGAAACCTGACAAGTTCATCCCTGGTTCTCTACTTTTGACACAGGCCGCTCCTCCTCCTGGTTCTGACCGAGACTTGGAGACTTGGGCCTCTAGGCGACGAATTCCTGTCTGGTTTCCTGCATCCAGCACAGGTTCTGGCTAAGTTTGGGTGCTCAGAAGCAGCCCTAAATAATAATAATAATAATATAATAATTCCAGCCTGGATCTCTGCGTTTGTGAACCTGTTTCTGCCCAGAGTCGTGCTGCACATCATGGCTGGTGCCAAGCTACAGGACTTTAACATTTTTGAGAACCAGGGCAGGGAGCAGGAAAACCGAAGGCATTTATTGGCTCACTGTTTCCAGGATAACTTTCCACTGTGACTTGCCAAATTCCCCTGGATCTCCAATGCCCTCCTCTACTAACCCCCGACAATCATCAGCCTCTCCTTACGCTTGCCTGAAGACAGCTTTCTCTGTTACTTGAGTTTAAGGCAGTAGTTAATAACAAAAAAATAAGTAAATAAGTAGGTTAATAATAATAAACAGGCTTGAACGTTCCAGGAGTGCACATTTTGCTGACTGCAGTTCACCTAACGACCACACGGTGCACCCTCTGCAACACCGTCTGCAGTGCCGCTTTAAAGTGACGGTGTGTATTTTCCCTGGCGATAGAGGGCCGTACACACCTAAATCATTGCACGCAAATGATATTTTTGTGTTTGAGTAAGCCCATTCCCGCCACCCAGATAAAAAAAAAGAAAAAATTATCTCATAATTATGAGACTTAGACCAGCTTCCATGCATTTTAGACCTGATCTTACAGTTATGTGTTAGCTGCCAATATTTTTCAACAACCGAGCATAATTTCATTTCCTTTCAGCTACATTTCGATGGATATATCCGGAGATTAATGGTAACAACTACACATAGCAGCTTTAACATACATTTTAAACTGTGAAAGTACGAGAGAAAAGCCTGTTGTTGTTGGACAACCTTCATTTCTTGACCTAAATATAAAACCACAAAAACACTCAGCAGTGAACTTCATCACTGATCTGTACAGCAAACATTCTGGATAAATATCATCAAACAGATTTGAAACTCACACAGGAACACTTCCAAGACCAACCCTCATAAAATACTATGTAATCAATATGAAATAGATACCTAAATATAAATAACCCCATGAAATAAATTCATGTAGGCAGAAAATAAATAAATGATGAAACCAATACAAATAGACGTGTTGATAGGGTTTTCTTTTCATAAGAAATGTTTCATTTTCAGATATGTTTTCATTTATGAGAATGTATTAATTTGCTTAGATTAAAAATTATATTCATACTGATTCACATGGCATTCCATGCACCCCGACCCGTCCCCCGTCCTCTCCCAGAGGGGACACTTTACCATACCTGCAAACGAATCAAAGTGTCTCTCAAAGGTGGGCAGTTTGTCTACATAAGCATCGTCTTCTGACAAGCCAAGGATCGAATAAAGAAGCAAAATAGCAAAAGAAGGTTTTTAAATAATAAGCAGTGTCTTGCACATCAAACAAAAGGTCAAATAAAGTCATGAGTAAAAAAAACTGGTGAAATATGGATAAGCATAATTAATAATAATGGAAACAATGATGCATGACTAATTGATTCAGAGGAAGTTATTTATTTATTTTGTCTCTAATTCAAGGCCTTTAATCTGATTGTACCTGCAGCCACCTCCAGACAGATTGGGGATTGTTTTGTAACCTAGTATGACTCAGCCGTGTTAAAGTCTGCAGTGATTTGCTCTAATCCCATCACAACTCTGCTGCACCGCAGCCACCTCCAGTGTGGCTCTAAAGTTAGAGCAAGGAATGTAAACTATTGTGTCACTAACTCATTAAAAATGTTTGCACTTTAAAATCAACACCCTGCTTCCTCTTCTCACCTCCCACTCACACTCTGTGTGTGTGTGACAAAAACTCATCTGAAACTAGACACAATAACTCTCTCTCTCTTGGTTTTACTTTATTCATTCTTTTACTAAAGGACTACAACTAAAATAAATAATAGACATTAATGCACATTTGTAAATATAAAAGAAAATGATGTTAAAGAAAATGAGCGGGATTGTTTTTATTCTTTCCTCTGTGAGGTCAGTGGGGGCTCACACACCTGATACGGACACACACAGCTCCTTGTTGACTGTGGGTGTGGTGGCGGCGCTCAGGGAGTTGGTGGAGGAGATGGAGGAGGTGCTCTCGGCTCGCGCTAACGGGGCGATGGGGGGAGGGCTTGCAGAGTGAATTGGTGGGCTGAATGGCCGATTCTGAAAATATATAAAAAAAAACAAGAATCAGAGATAAAAAGAAGCTTGTCAGAAGATGAATAAAAAAATAAATCATGACACAAAAATTCTACATCTTACTGCATCTCCAACAGCAGGTTTCCCAGGGGGGAGCCTGGGTCGTGAAGGGGGTCGAGGTGGAGGTGGAGGCGGGGTTGGGTTGACTGATGAAGGTGTAGAGGGTCTCACAGGTGAGGAGGAACCTGTAAGGAGATCAGAAACAAACTGGTTCAGGCAACAAAATTAGTTCCAGAATACAATGGACGAAAGATTAAAGCTGCTAAAACATTTTTTCATGCCTCTTAACAACGTTCTAACATAGAACAGCTTTACAAATATATTGTGGTGCAGTGGCTCGCACCGTTGCCTTGTAGCAAGAAGGTCCTGGGTTTGATGGATGGGTGGATGATATCTTGTTTTGTGGGCGGAGCCTTGTTATGGATGACTAAAGATCTCTCTTCATTTGCCGTGTCATGGAAGGAACACCAGTCCCTGCGGAACGCTGTTATGATTGTACAAATATAAAAGTACATTTACTGTTCATACCAGCGTTCCTTCTTCCACCTTTGTCTTCCTTCTGCCTACGCATCTGCAGATGAGCTCTCAGTAATATTACACCGAGGTCGTTTCTGTGGCTCTAGTCAATGAGGAAGTATTTCATCACCCACAAGGCCCCGCCCACAAATTGAGTTTTCAAACAAACAAAAAGCTGCGCAAACACATTTTTCACTTTTGAATATACGTATATTTTTTTGGGGATAAGCAAAACCTTTTAAATCAAACCAAACAACATCTGATTTAATTTGTAATTCTGCCTTTAAAACTGTTGTTTTATGTTTGCTGAGGGTGCTTCTCCAGTCTAAATGATGAACCACTCACCGCTGTTTGTGCTGCTAGTTCCAGATGCGGGACCTGGTGATTGAACCACCGCACGATATGTAGGAGGAGGAGGTGGTGGAGGCGTGATCCAACTGCCCTGGCTGGCATCTTTCCGTGAAGTGGCTGTTTCACCTCCATCTTCTTTGGGCTGGGAGGTGTTCGTGATCTTGGACTGTTCCTCTTGAGGGAGGACTAGAGGTGGTGGGACTGAAGGTGCTGCAGGCTGTTCAATAGGAGGCGTCGTTGTCTCTGGGGTGCCCTCTTTGGGGGAGGGAACTGATGGGACACCAGGGGGTAAGTCAAGAGAATGAGGGGAGGAAGCCGGAGGTGATTTACACACTGCAGGTGCGGGGGGTGGAGAGGTGGGAGGATTTTGGTCTTCGGGCGTGGAAGGACCTGAATAAGTGGGAGGAACAGCTGGCTCTTCAGAAGGCGGTGGGGAAGTTGGAAGAGGAGGAGCGAGGTCTTCTTTTGGGGAAGGTGGAGCATTCTCTTCTGGAGGAGGTGGTGATGTAGGTAGAGGAGGAGCAGGAGAATCAGGTGGAGGTGGGGAGGCTGGTGGTGGTGGTGGTGGTGCTGGTTCTTCTGGCGGAGGTGGTGAGGAAGGCAGCGGGGGGGTGTGATTCCTCGGTAGCGGAGGTCCGGCAGGGGAGTGTTCACTGAAGCAGACCCACTTGTCGCTCGTCTCCTCGCCTGCAGGAGGAGAATGCTCTGGTCCAAAAATGTTGTCCAAGTCTGCTATGGAGGGCTTCCTCGAACCGTTTGCTTCTGAAATGGAGACGGAAGACATTTGAGGACATTTGTTAGAAGTTCACATAAGAAAGTAAAATATCCTAAAAAAAATTGGAACAGAAAAGGTTAGCGGCAGAGAGCTGGACAGATAATAATGATAATACATTTTATTTGAGGGCACCTTTCTAAGACCAAAGGTCACCTTACAGATATAAAACACTGAGTGTCAAGCAGGGAGGCATTAGGTCCCATATTTTTTAAAAGTCTTTGGTATGAGCCAACCATGGATTTGAACCCAGCCACAGGGCAGACACATACCACCAGGCCACTGAGCTGGTTCCGGTCCTAATGACTGTGGGAAGTGTGTTCCAGAGCCGAGAAGCCCAAACTCTTTACTTTTGTAGCAGTCACACTTTATAGAGCTCCGGGAGTTGATGCCACTTCTCCCGGCATGCAAGAGTTCAAATCGAACTGCGCCATCTTGGCAGGCAAAAGCCCACAGCTGGGCTATTTGTTATTGTCAGAAAACTCAATCAAACAGGAAATATAGTAGATTTCTGTTGTGCCCCAGGATGCCAGAACAGACGCGGACAGGATAAGGGAAGAGCCTACAGGATTCCCCAAGATCCGGAATGCCGCAAACGTTGGATCATCACAATGAAACGCGCTAGCCTCCAGGCTAAAATGAAACTGTGGGATCCCGAGAGTAAAGGTTTCCGCTTATGCAGCGACCACTTCATATCAGGTACTTAAACCAACATTTCCTCAACTGTATATGGTATTTATTTTAAATGCTTTTATTACAATTCATAGTGGGCTTCCTAAACTTATTTTGGCGTGGCTTTTTCTGTCTTATTACTCATAGCAACAAGTAAACATCACATAAAACGTTGCCTCGTGATTTCTGCGTGCTGCCGTTTACGTGTCTTATGATCACAGCAATTAACCGGCTAAGCTGTATTTCATTTTTACATGCTCTTAGCGATGCTCCAGAGTAGGACGAGGGAAAATTAACAAGGAAATTATAAATGCCAGGGTATCTCAAATCCGGTAAGAGGTCCGCTTCGATAGCTTCTGGCGTTTTAAAAAGTATCCCAGGGGCATGGTACGGGTCGGAGATGTTTAGTCTATTTAATTTCTGACTATATAAATGGTTTATTCGGTTTTAAAGTGTGAAGTAAACTTCAACGGAGTAAAGTCCAAGCCGATCCCGTTCATTTTGTTTACCTGTGTTGCCTGCCAACATGGCGTCTACTCTGAGAGTCACATGACTTCCGGAGCTGTATAGTGTGACGACTGCAATTTAGTTATAACCAATAAGATGTGATTATTCCATATAAATATGAAATATCAATCTGATTGATCTTTGTATGTTTAATCAGAAGAGTCTAGTGTTCTTTGCTTGTTCAGGGACCGTAAACACACTTCGTATTAATTCAGACAGAGTCAAGTATATAGTTAAAAGTAATTTTATTCTTTTCTAAACTAATGATTATACATGACAAGGTATGAATAATGAGATGTGATGGGATGTGATGTGTAGGTGGTGTGATGTCAAAAGAGATGCTTCAAAAGGGACTTCTTTCCCGATCTGGCCAAATCGGGGTTCAGCTGGAAACTGAATTAATTGGGACGTAAATCCTGTTTTAATAAACCACAGTATTATGATTTCCGGCCATTCTGGCAAATCAGAATGTGCCATGTCTGGAAGGCTTTGCCAAAACATTCCTCAGAAAGCCACTCCTTCCTTCAGATACAAGATTCTTAATTCTGTGAATAAAGAATCTTTAAATGTTATGTGAAGTGAACCTTAACCTAATTTGTATCTTATGAAGATGTGTATGAGTGTAGATAATGATTAACTTGTTAAAGCAAACACATTGCGATTTGTGATAGGAATGGATCATTGTAAGAACAATACTCATTTCAAATTCATTGATTTAAGCACAGGTCATTCAAACACCTGATTCAGACATCCTATTCATTCATCACACATGATTATTTATATCATGAGTTGTAAAAGTCTTGGACTTTTATTCAGAGTGAGGAATTCAGCCGTCTGACTTTTAGCAGAGAGATAAGGCTTTTGCGTCTGGTGAGACCTTGACAGTTTGCTTATGTCTGCGTTGAAGAACAATGAGTGAGAAAAAGTTTGATTTGTTTGTCTGGATCCTCCAGCTGGCGCAACCCTGACCCAGCAGTTCCGGCGTGCATGAAAGGTTATGCTGTGTCAGTTCGATGGTGGAAATTGACCCTTTTTATTCATTACACTTTAGGAGAGGGGTGGACGATGGAGTTGTCAATATTCTTGGACAAGCTGGGTGATGTTTAAGGTGGAAGCTGTGCCAACAAGTAGGAATCTTGTTTTATTACTACTGACTTTGAGTAAATTAGAAGAGAGCCATGGTCTGATCTCCAAAAGCCAGTCAGACAAAGAGGTTGCTGGAAGTAAAGAATTAGGTTAGAAGGAAATGTAGAACTGGGTGTCATTGGCATAAAAGTGAAAATTGATATTGTATTTGTGGAATATCTGTCTAAGGGGGAGCAGATAGGTAATGAATAAAAGGGGGCCTAGAACTGAACCTTGGGGGACTCCTGCGGTAACTGGAAACAAACTTGAAGAGTGGGATTTGACTTGAATGAACTGAGAGCAGCCAGAAAGAAATGGTGTAAACCACGCAAGGAGAGTATGACCAATGTTGTGTCCTTGGGCACGACGCTTAACCCTTTAAGCGCCAAAGTCGCTATATTGCAACAAACGTCATTGCTGACTTTAGCCACATCTATAAATATGATCCCTCATGAAGTTACTACTTTACACAAGAAGATAGTGGAGATGTGCAACATCAGGCTGAGAAACACTTATGGTTGTGTTTACATATATGAAAAGTTTCAGAGTTTTTAGACATTGAAAACTATCTCAAGCTGAGAGGTTTCCGGTCTGGGGGCGGACAAGAGGAGGAGACAAGCGCAACACGAAGAGGGCAAATATTAGTGGGATAAAACTTACAATTGCCAGCAGGTATGGACTCTGAATGGCACTATACAAGTGCAGGTCATTCGTCATATAATGCCAATTGAAGCTAATCTTTTCAGAAGAACAGAATAGAAATGGTATGAAATGCTGCACTTAGATCAAATAGGATGAAAATGATGAGAAGACCAGAATCAGCTGCCACTAGAGGGAAGCCAGAAGACTTTTTACCTTCCTCATCTCCAGAGGGCTCTCCAGTCACTGGGGGAGAAGTTGGAACATTCTTCGGTGGGAGTGGAGGAGGAGCTGCAATGATACCATTAGCTCAGTATTGACTCATTGTTCTGGCATGGATATGTTTTGCTCAGGATGGGCTGCATTCAACACCAACAACTAGATTAAAGGTCTCTTTCGCAGAGTAACTGTGTAATACTTGTTCTTTGTGTCACTTTGAGTTTCACATGCATGCTGAACCTTAAATGTTCTTCACCCTCCATCACCTGCATTAACTGCAGAAAGGAAATAGGCAGGAGAGACGACCAGGTCAGGTGTTTTCCACATCACATGGAAATTTTGCATTCATGGCCTTGCCCACCTTGACTTGGGACAGCTCCCCAGGAAAAAGAGAGCAGTGTCTCAGCTAGTAGAAGCTAACCGTTAGCATTAGCAACTCCACAACATAGCAGAACTCCTTCAGGTTTGTGTTATTTGTGAGATAAAACATCAAATTAGCATTTTTTTTTACCCAAGACAGAAGAGCAAAAGAAAGCAGCGGAAGAGTCACATTGCTGTTAGCTAATTTGCATTTCATGTAAATTAACGAATAAGATCCTTATCCTACCATTTTCCGGCCCCCTCTTAAAATCAGGAGCATGTGAGATATTTTTTCCACAGAAAGTGGCTCACAAGGTAATCATTCATCATGGAGACCATAGCAAATTTATTATAAAAACAGGTAACTGAGACCATCAACTCAACACAGGACGACACTTAACTGAAGTCACATGTTTAGATATTTAAAAAATGATATGTATTGTGATAATAAATCAAATATCCAAATAAACCCATCATGCAGCACAGAACTGTTCAACTCAGTCACCATAAGGCAAAATGCAAAGGGAATGCATTCATGTGGAATGGGTTGGTGAAAAGGAGAACGGAACAGTTTTGTGAGCAACAAAACACAACCAGTCGTGCTGTTGTAATGGCTTGTGAAATGAAATGATGATCCACATTGGAACAGTCTGCTTGTTAGTGGGATGGCGGGCAGGTCACAAGGAATGGTGGGTCTGTGCAGTCTTTCTGGGAAGATGAGGACTGTGGCACCATGGGAATTATAACACTTACTTCCTGTGGGGAAGGACCTGGTCAAGGAGGATTCAGGCTCTGGGAAAGGGGTTCCCCACGCACCGGACTCAGAAAGAACCACTAAGTTCAGGAGGGGACAGAGAAGGTCACGTGAAGGGCAAAAGCAGTGAAATAACTGTTTCTTGACTCTTTGGAGCTTGGGAAAGCATATGTGTTGAACAGGAAACAAAACAATACACAGATGTTGCCACGTTTGAATTAATTTACAATAGAGGAAAAAAGTGATTTTTATTACACCTAAAGTGGCACTTATGTAACTGCTAATAGTTCGTTCACTACTTCCATCACAGGATCCTGCAGGGCTGCATGTGAGCAGGTGATGGCAACGTTTACATATTAACAAGCTGCGCTGTGCACGAGTGTAGCCTCAGGGGGCCGATTTCAACGGTGACCTTAGGAAAGACAGACGGACTCAATCCACAGCTGAGCAGTGAGTCTGAAGAAAGAATAATTATGGAAATACTGAAGAGAGGAAATCAAGAAAGAGGGTATGTTATGACAGCCAAGTGAGGCTGGGCTGACAGCCAATGAGAGAAGGTGAAGTCATCTCAGAAAGCCGATTTCAGCGTGCTGCTAACATCTGTCAGCACAAAAATAGTCTTTGAACTAAAGCAGAAAATTATGAAGGCCCATTTTGAGGATTATACAAAAAAATAGACAAAAGAAAGAAAGAGGAGGGTTACCTTCAGTTTTCTGTTCTCCAAAGGTCATTTCCAAAGGAGGCCCGAATAAGGCTGTGGTGTCTGCATGGACTGCTGCTTGTTGATTGCTGCAACAGCAGAAGGGTTGTTAGTATTCACCTTCTACCTGCATGCTGTATGCAGCACCTGCTTTTCTAGTTTTAGTTGTCTGATAGTAGGACAGCTGCTCATTCTTTGTTAGTGGTTCTCTTTGCTTCAGACATTTCAGAAACAGAGACTTCTGTGGGAGGAAACATCATCCTTTCAATTATACAACCTGGTCTGAGCCCAAATAAATGTAAATACTACTGGAAGGAAGAAAACACAGAGACAAAGACAACATGTCCTTTTAAAAAAGACATTTAAATCATTGTGAGTAAAGTTGTATGGAGCTAGCCTGACAAGCCATCCTATATAAGTGAATATATACAAAATGCAGAGCAAAATCTATTTGCTTTGGCAAATGATGGCTAGATCAGGGGTCGGGACCCCTTTTGTCTGAGAGAGCCATGAACGCCACATATCTAAAATACAATTCCGTGAGAATTATACAATATGTTTAAACCTAAAAACAAGTAAACATGCATTTTATGTAAGACCAACACTTTTTAAGTACAGTAAGTCAATAAGTCAAGGCTTTGTGCACATTCAATAGGGCTGCAACAACAAATCCATAAAAATCGATTAAGAAATGCGTTGGCAACGCATGTAACTACCAAGCCCCCATAATACTGGTATGAAATTGAAGCCAACACGGAAGTGACAAAAATTGCAGTTCCACCCTCATCCGCTGGGGGGCTGGTGTCAGAAGCGAGCAAATCCTCATTGACTCCCATGTTGAAAATACCAATTTCACAGCAGAAATAAACATGTTTACAGCCTGGTACCAAAACATGTTTTTATGTTTAATAGAACTAGTTTAAACTCATGACAACTCTGAGGGGGGGGGGGGGGGGGGGGGGGGATATTTTTTGTCACTCTTCTGTTTAAGTGTATTAAATGCCTAAAATTCTGAATATTTAATGAGCATCAGACCCACGTGACCGCAGAGCTAGCTCCGGCGAAAGGCCTCGTCTGAAAACTGTTCCGCGATTTTTAGTCTCTCAACTTAGACCATTAGTTGTGCCGATTGTGCGTTCTTTTTTGGATATAATTTGTGCAATTGTTGGACAAAATGACTTGCTGTAGTATTAATTGCATTAATTGAGCGTCCAACAAGTCTCCACTTAATTTTTTTACAGTAAGTAAAATTAAATTTATGTATTTTAGGTCACTGCTGCTTTTGCACTAGCTGAGCTTAGATTTTAACATGTACTGTTTCACCATGAAATTTAAATGTAATAGGGTAAAACCCAGTGCATTTAACACAATGCTGCATTTTTGAAAATGGGTTGAAATATAACACATTGGTGGAGCTGGGTTCCGACTATCGGTAAGGTCCCCTCCCCGCAGCTCGGCGCATCTCTGATCGCCGCAGCGCCTGTCTGCTGCACGGCTGCCGGCTTGTGGAGCTCTTGGATGAAAACCGATGTTTTCCACCCGGTTCTCCCCAGCGGCAGCTTTGCGCATCTCTGATAGCAGTGGCGCTTGTCTGCTGCGCGGCTGCCGGCTTGTGAAGCTCTCGGGAGACCTCTGTGTTCCACACTGTTTTACGCAGCGGCCAGCCCGGCGCATCTCTGACTCAGAAGCTCTGGTGTTGTGCACAGGTAACTCTGGTTGTAGCTAGGTTGCTACCTCCGTTAGTTTAGCTCCCACCTCTGCGTTAGCTTTGGGTTAGCTTGTAGCTACATTGCTTCAGTTCGACGGGTGTCGTCATTTGACATCCCAGCCTTACAGCCCCACCCTCAGCTCCAACTCTTTTCCCTTTTTTGGAATTGTCTGGGCTTGACGGAACCTGTGACACAGTCAAAATGGCGGTGGTGGTCACCTCCCATTTTGGCTTAAAAACGTATTATTGGAGCCTATGGACACGCATTGTCCAGTATATATGTTGATGGTAACAACAGGCAAATTAGCTAATGCTAGCTGGTAGCAGGGTCACAATCAAATGGGGTTTCGAAAAAGAACGATGGTCATGAAACTAAAAATATCATCTCTACAAGCGGAAGAAAAGTCACCCCCATCCTGTTTATCAGCTGTCTGCAGCACTATGGAGCAGAACTGCTGCAATCAGGTTACTGCTTTGAGTCTGCTCTGCTCAACACTGCAGCAGGATTAAGGCAAGCCACTGTAGCATGTAATTCACAAACGTGCCTGTCTGTGAACATAATTTAAACTGGATTATTGCTAACCCGTACATAGTAGATGTGTCACTATTACATTTGTAGCAGTAGAAATGAAATGCTATTAACAATTCCAGTAGCTTACTACTGAACACGTTAATGAAATACATTACATTTACTGATCATAGTTTAATTATGGATATATTTAGGTGAAAGCATGTTGTTTTGCACACTACTGAACTGTTTTCGAATCACATTTTGTTGTTAAAGTAAAGGAAGGCGAGAAAAATTGCTTCCATAGAAGTTTTTAAATTTGCCTGTTTATTCCGATTAATCGAGCTGAGACCCCATCCGATTCATCGATGATCCAAAGAGTCGTTTGTTGCAGCCCTAACGTTCAGCATAAGATAACTCTTTAAACAATTTGTAAAAAATTCATACCATAATTGTAGCTGTCTGCTTAAAATAATTCAATGTTATTCACCCTGTCAAATTACATTTTACACAAGAGTGACACAACAAAATAATGTTTTTTTTTCTCATTATTTCACTAAATCTAAAGTCACCAGAATGTTTGCATCTTCTTGGTAAACATTAAAATGTATTTCACTGAAGTGCTTTTTCAGAGAATTCAAAAGTTCTCAACATTTCCTTAAAACAAGTTAAATGCGAGCAAGAGGAGGTGTGCCAGGTGTGTTTCTGTACATCAGCAATGGGAGGGGGGGGGGGGGGATTATAGGGCAGCAGTAGCTCAGGAGGTTGAGTGGGTTGTCCATAGGGCTGGGCTATAAATCGAAAATGTATCGTTATCGAAATTTCTGACTCTTATCGTGATAATTTGTCCCATGTCAATAAATATGATAATAAAAAAATGAAAAGATGTGTGTAGGTTGGCAACGGTCATGTCCCTTTAAGAAGCTGTACCACCTTGATTCATGCAAAAATGTGACTCAACACGATACATGTAACAGCCCCATCTAGTGGACAACTTTGTTTCTTCACATACCTGTAGTCATCGTTCACTTATCGTTATCAAGGTGAAATCCTCAGTATAGCGTTATATTAATTTTAGGCCATATCACCCAGCCCTAGTTGTCCAGTGATGGGAAGGTCGCAGGTTTGATCCCAGCTCCCAACAGAATGCTGCTGTTGTGTCCCTGGGCGAGACACTTAACCCACCTTGTTTTGTAGTGGTGGTTGGAGGGACCAGTGATGCCTGTGCTAGAAAGCATCGCCTTTGTCACTGAGCCCCAGGGCAGCTGTGGCTGCATTAGCTGATCATCACCAGTGTGTGAATGTGTGTGTGAATGGGTGAATGATACACTGTAGTGTGCTGTAATAATAATAATAATAATAATAATAATAATAATAATAATAATAATAATAATAATAATAATAATGCATTGAACTTATGTAGCGCTTTTCAAGACACCCAAAGACGCTTTTCACACTCTCACATTCACACACTGCTAGTGATGGTAAGCTACTTGTAGCCACAGCCGCCCTGGGGAGGTCTGACAGAGGCGAGGCTGCCATTTGGCGCCATCGGCCTCTCTGACCACCACTAACACAGGCAAGATGGGTGAAGTGTCTTGCCCAAGGACACAACAGCAGGATACCCCTTGCGGGAGCTGGAATCGGGCCCATGACCCATGACCCTCCGATCATGAGGCAACCTGCTCTACCACCTGAGCTACTGCTGCCCAAATGTGCTTTGGAGTTCTCTAACCCTGAAAAGTACCATACAAGTGTAGGTCATTTATCATTTATTCATTGAGACTGTTTCTTAGAGTTTTCCTCTTCACTGTCACCACATGCTTGCTAATGAGGGATTGCTGGGTTTCCTTAGGAAGTAAACATTGGCATAATATAAGTCGCTCTAATGTTCTAATTACTTTGTAAAGTGCCTTGAGCGATCCGACCTCTGACACTACTACATAAGGAATAAAACAGACATGAAGCATTAGGGCAGGGTGCTGGCAAGCATTCAGGCTGTCATAGAGAGGATCTTCTTACCTGGGTGGTTGGGGTGCTGGAGCCGGTGTGGGGGCCACAGCGGGCACAGAAGGAATGGCGCGTCTCGGTCTGGCAATTTCTTCACCTGGGAGCACAAAATAATACGTTCACCACACGTAAAGCTTACATCACTGGAGAGTTGAAGTGCAACAAAATCACAACTTACTAGATGTGTTCCTTTTCAAACCCTGCCATGTGAGGAAAAATGATAACAGTAAATTGTTAAAAAGTCAAAGAATAACACGCATTTGTATGCGGTGACATTGCAAACAACCCTAACCCGTATTACAAAAGCTTGTACAACATATATTTAGTGTTTAGGACAGAACTACTGGTTGTACTGTGAAGGTTAGGACAGATTAGAACAAGAATTTGAATCTTAAAAGGATTTTTTTTCTCCTTATTATCTTGTTTAGTCATTTCTAAATGTTTTGTCGTGCTTGTGATTTTTATCCATAGAGGCGCTACATAAAAATATTTTCTCTTCTTAATCAGACAAGACTGAAACTATTCTAGTGAAACTATATATTTTCAGGGAAGAAAATATCAGTGTGGTGCATTGCTGCTGCCTGCAGCAGGTTAATGTCAATAAAACCACTAGATTTAGGCAAAAAGCAAGAAATATCTATTTTAAGAATATCTTTTGAAGTTGTGTGAAGCCTCACTTGTCATCAAAGACAAAGAGAGAAATTGATGAATCTGGAGCATAAATGAACCCCTGAAGTTGCAAGCTGTTTATCAATGGAGAAGAAAACCCAAACATTATTTCCTTTCCAGCTACGATCCCAAGCTCCCCGCTGCAAGTGTGGATTTAGTGTGATCGGTTCACATGGAGCTAGGAAATGCATCTAAGATGACAGAGTGAAGAGAGGGGAGGAGAAAGAAACAGATGAAGAGATACAACAAAGACTGACTAACACGAGACAGCAAAGGGACCAGCTGTCAAAAAAAGTGAAAATGTTTTCTCAGTCAAAGTCTGAAGTTGTTCAAAAACAAGAACACAAACACATAAAAGCTGCAATAGCAAATCTGCCAAACAAGCTAGCTTAAAACATAGTTTTCGTGCCTCTTAACAACATTCTAACATATATAGCTATAACTAGTTTATGGGATGAAACAAAATAAAAAAATAATGAAGGGGTACTCGTTCTGAAAGGCAAGCAACAACTGGACCATCAGGATGTCTGTCGCACCCGACCACCGCACTTAGGCAATAACCTGGGTAATCCACTCATTACGCACATTCTGCAGCAGAACACCACTGGTGTGAGAGGTTCTCCACTCCCAAATAACAGCCGGCTGCTACCACTTCAACCCTAGGACAAACTACCAGAGTCACAAAAAGAAAACACTATTTGAAGTCACGGACAACAGAAGATGTTAGGGCCTAGAAAACGGCGACTGGTGTTTAGCGCTCTCTGGTTTACTGTGGCAATGCAGGTTCTGTTATCAGACCTGGGGGTGAAAACCAACAGCTAGCTTGTTTTGCTGATTGCTATTGCAGCTTTAAATAATAAATGCTCAACTTCTTTCAGCAGAAGAACACGTAACCTGTTGTTTACTGGACAAGAGCCTCAAGGGAGGAAGAAAAGAGGCCATGCAGCACAAAGTTAGTCCGACCCCATTGAGACGGAGGGACAGGATACTTACCGGGCTACGTCTCTGTGACCAGCAAAAAGGAAGAGAGAAGAGATACCTGATCAGAGAGTGACAAATCAGTAAAGCAGACAGCTTATGCATCAGAGTGTTGGTTTTAAGCTGCTCTAATGAAAAATTTTTAACTGCGTTTTGTAGAAGCAGGTTGTTTGAGCTTTATTTTCTGCTTCTGCTATCAGAAAAAAGTCCACAAACTGTAGAAATTCAAGAATGGGAAATGAATAAAATCACTTGTCAGCTCTTATAGAGCTGTTGATATTACTATTTATCTTTGAACCACTCAGTTGCCCTTCTTTCTTATGTAATTCAGCCACCCAATTTCTGCATTTCCTTCAAAATTTCCCTTAACATCTGCCCTCCTCGTCTCTTTCATTTGCTTCGCCTGCTCATCCACCTCGTGTCAACCCCTCTCTCTTGTGCTCGCTCTAGTTGTGCAGCGAGCCACGAGTGATTCAAGTGATGTAACAGTGGGAGGGACGAGCTGGGGGAAAGAGTTTATTTTATTGGATGGAACGGGGAAGGACGTGGCTCAGTAACGGCAGTGGGCCAAACCGTGCCTGTAAACAGGAAGAGCATCTCGGTTTCATGACTCGGCATAATCTTTTAGCACTAATTCTGCTTTTTCTTTTAGAAATAAATACAATATGGACAGTAGAAATTGTACTTATTATATACTTTGGTAAACAAATTTCATTTTTGTAATTTTTTGGGGGGTCCACAGAGTGGTCCAGGCTTGTTGTCAAGGGTGGCACTGGCCCACCCTTGACCCTTACCAGATCCACCCCTGTCAGACAATACTGATTTTTTTTTTGTGCGTCTCATGTGCAGAGAAATCAACTAAGCAGGTTGATTTATAAGTAAGGAGTCTATAAGAGAAAAGAGAGACAAAAGGTGCAATTATTGAGAAAAGACAAACAAAGCAGAGGCTTACCGGACTCCTCTATAGAGGTTAGCATCGCGTAAGGCAACAAAAGAAACAAAAAACGGAAACAACGACATTAAAAACTCTAACAGAAGATTAATGTCATGAGCCAGGGTGAGTACTCATCTCATCATCTCACTATCTCTGAGTGTTTTGGTTTCAGGAGAGGGAGCAACAGCTATTTCCAATCAGCTGATCAGCGGGCCGGTTTATAAGAAGGAAGGTGGACATGACTCGACGCCGGATGATTAACTACTGACTGGTAGTCTCTAGCCCTCGCTTATCTCTGCTCTTGTTCTCTCGTGTTTTTCCCTCGTGACTTGGATTAATTCTACTTTTGGATTTTACCCCACCTCAGGTCTGGAATGGATAATCATCAGTTTTCCCCGATGCCGTTTTGGATTTTTATCTAGTTCATTTCCTGGTTCACCCTCCTCCAAGTGCCGACCCGATCTCCTCCACCTCTCGCTCCCTCCCAGAACCACATCGGTCTGGATCCCATTCCTCATTCACCTCTACCGCTCTACAATCATTACCTGGACTTACCCCGGCTCACCCCTCCCACACGCTTCTCATCTATCTAACCTGTAAGTCCCTCAGCCAGCAATTCCCCTGCCATTCTACAACTCCCATACTCACCTCTGCTACTTTTCCCTCTAGACGCCGCTTCCCATTTCTGCACCCGCTGGATTTTCCAGTGCGCCCCTTAGTTCACCGTTTCGTCAATAAATTTTTTTTTAATACAATCTGACTCTGATTCTGCATGTCCTGGGTTAGACTCTTGCCCCACAACATGACATTTAACAGTTGGAACACAAGAGCGGGTAAACAAATGAATTACAACAAAGAAAAGCAGTCATGTGATTTTTCTATTCTGCTTCAGCTTCTGAGTGAAACCAGCAGCTACCCTGCAGATAAAACATAACATCTAAAGTAGCTGTAGATGCCGGGTGGTAAAACACCAAGTGTTAGTTTATCCATCCTTCATATTTACACACAACACAGCTAAATACATACACGTTGTGGAATACTTTAGTGAGATTTAATGGCACTTAAGAGACACTTTTTGGGCAAATAAAGTGTTTTATGCAACAAGCTGAATGAAAGATAAAAAAATAACAGCAAGTAAAAGTCAGTATTTCACAACTTTGTCCAACTTTTGCCTTTTGGCGAGTTTGTGTTTGACTCCACTGATCCAACAGTTTGGCAGTCAGAAAAAGTTTTAATACTCAGTTAAATTGTTGAATATTTCTGCAAAAGATTAATTGCAAATAGGAAGAAAAAAGGTTAATGTAACACAAAATTTGAACATTTTCTTGATGCAGTTTTATCACAAGTTAATTACGTTTCAATTAAATTCAAATTAACCCTAATTTTATCTTCAATCTGATGGCAAAGCCTCTTAGGTTATCTTTATTTCCTACACCTTTTTACTCATTACAGCTCAACTGGGACAGGATCCAGATGGGTTTGAGACACCCCAGCTGTGTCAGCATCCACAACATCCACAATGCTTAATACACAGCCAGCTACTGTTATAGTCAGGTGTGTTTCCACTGGCAGTGAAGCGGGGTGTCTTGGACGCATCCAAGTGTCGTGTTGCTTCACGAAATTTATGCCTCTGGTCTATTTTTTTACGTGCCATGCTTCCAGAACACGCCAAGCTTAGCAGTCCTGTTCGAGCCGGACAGCAAACCAAACACAGGACGACTTTCAAATTTAACGACACGTGCAGATTTCCAGTTGCTTAACTGGTGGAAAATAGAGTAGAGACTTTAGAGTACAAACTGTCGTCTTTCTCCTTTCTTGTTGCGTGAACTGGTGAAATCATATGTGATCTTGTAATTCCCCAGTGATTTCATTACTTTGCACGACCAGCTGTGTGGAATCCTTTTGCAGCTGATAGGTGTCTGAAACGCTCACATAGGAAGGCTAGGTCACACCCATCTACTTATGGACCATGGGTCCCCGGAAGAACAAAGAAATTAATGCAAGTCAACGAGGCTAAAAATGCTATTTTCTAATTCTGCTTGTTGCGTGCAATGAATTTCACATATGATGTCCATGAATTTTAAAGACACATTCTGATACCAAGAAAGCGCTTATTTTTGAATAGAGGGAAATGTTACTTTACGTTTTGTCTGAAAATAAGTCCAGGACTACAAATGTGCACCACCAAAGTGACACCATCAAACCAGACACAGAGAAAAATAGAGGGAAAATGGCTGTCGGTTCAGCGAACTTCAAATCCTTCTATTAAGGAGCAGGGGAGGACACCGGACCTGACTGGAGAAGAACACACACACACACACACACACACACACACACACGCACACACTAAGCTGGGGAATGACACACACACACACAGAGCTGGGGACAAAGAGGCTGGAGCTACAACTGGAGGGGCTGGGGATGACCTGAAAGGCTACAAGCAGAAGGCACATAAATAAGATGCAGACAAAAGACACATGAGGGCGCTAAGAGACACAAAAGGGGAATCTAAAGAGGGATGGAGGACATCAGGAGACACATGGGGAAAAACGCAGACACAGACCATGACAAGACCTAACAGTCTGCAACAAACACTCACATCTAACTAGCTGAAACGAAACGTTTTAATGAATCTGTTACTACAAATGTTGCTGAATAACACCTGAAACTTGTCAATGTGTAACCTAATAACACACATAGTCAATAACAGTCAAAGTCTTCTCTTTTCACTGTGCAACAATAGGATTTAAAGCACATGTACAAGCACGAAAGACTTTCACACCTGATAAGATGGACAAAGACAGCAGGTGAACACATTGAAGCTGGATTAAATTATTGAGGCCAGAAGCTCGGATAACCACAGGTAATATCACTGTGCAGCAGACTGAAACACAAGTTCATTGTGCCCACTTTCCTACGTAAATTATTCAAGGCAGACACCTAAGCTAACTGTCCTCTATGGAAAAGACCGGGACTACGGTTTGCATTTGGAAAGGCATAAAAACACCAAAGCATGCAGAGGAATCCCACAGCTAATTACACGATGTGAAACAGGGATTTGTTTGGTTGTTTCGGACTCCTTAAATGAGCTGTATAGCTTTGCACAAAGACTAAAACTCCGCTTCTTGGCATCAAGACACAGACCGCTTCTGTTGCTGGACCTGATGTTAAATAACATCAAGCTAAAGAGAATGCAGAGGTCTCACAAATTAGCTACATGAAATATAAGCCATCATGTAAATCTACTGACCCCTAAAATCATGGAGAGTTAAAAGTATGGCATCAGTCCACTGTTCCATAGGGTGTCTTCAAAACAGATTACAGTGGTCCCTTTCGTGACTTCGCAGTTTTGCGGATTTTTTGTGAGTGTAGTTTTGCATGCTTTTTTCAACAGCACATTGTGTTCTGCGTCCACAGGCACACACGTTTAAACTTTGAGAGTGTTTAAACAAGAGAGAAAAGTGTGAAAATGTTAATGCCTGTCTGAGAAAAGTGCATAAAATGTTTAGTGAGGGGGTGTTACAGCCTTAAAATGTTGTGGGGGTGCGCTGAGACGAGCACGTCTGTGGGGAGAGGACCGAACGGCTGTGCCAATGGGAATGTGCCGTGTCACGGCTAGAGCGCATCAGTAATCAGCACTCCTGCATCTTTATATACAGGAGAGGAGGAGACGCAAGTCTGCATGATGACAGAAGCCTGGAAAGCTGGAGTGAGTGTGTGTGCAAATAAAAGTGTTCACCCATGCACGCATGCTAGAAAACAAAAGTTGAGAAATGGACATTCTGGTGTGTGTGTGTGTGTGTGTGTGTGTGTGTGTGTGTGTGTGTGTGTGTGTGTGAGAGAGACCCCAATAGTAACTGCATACTTTACAAACATCTATAATTTATTTTAAAAAGTGTAAGAAGTTAGAAGAATGAGCCTCAAATGACAACCTAAGCATCGAGGCTGGTTAGTGACATTGGACCTACTCACCACTATAGAAGGGGACAGAGCTATGTTGCCTATGGAGGCTTTAAGCTCATCCACTGATGGTGCCGCAATAACACAATCAGCAGGCAGCGGCTTGATCTTGATTTTGAATTTCTTCCTGTGGTCTTCCTCCTCTTCAGACTCATCAGACGAGAAGAAGTGGGACTTTTTGGCTGTTGGTAGTAGGTGCAACGTCAAAGAAAAACAATGCGAAAATAACCTCATAATAACCACTGATTCCACAGGAAATATATCAAGACTATTTTTCTTAGGCTAAAAAAAGTCTATAAAGAACATGGTTATGAAATTCTTTGCTCTAAATCCTTCTAAAGCAGTTTAAGCAGTTTTATTATTAACAGTTTCAGTACCTTCCACAATGAGCCATTTCAGGGATCTGTCACTTTAAGAAAACAAGCAGCTGGTCACACCCACCCATACCCCACTCGGGCTGCTATCGTCTGAGAACCTACGATATCTAAGAGGAGCTCAGTGTAGAGCCGCTGCTCCTTCAGCATCAGCTGCTCTTCTGCAGGTGGTTCTAGGTCAAATTTCCCCGTTTGTGATGTCACAAACAGGGAATTTTAGATACTGTTTGTTTTAGGCACATATTACCTAAAACTAAACGCTGATTAAAAAATAAAAGAATAGATTTCTTTTAACATTGGAGTTTTTGTAGGCGGTAAAGACCCACATTGCAGGACTAAATGATTCAAAGGGCCAGTTTGGAAATTTCTAGATTTGCAGTTTATAACTCAATGATTTCTGTTGGGAAAAAAAATCCCACCACAAATCAAACCTGATGAGTCTGTTTCTAATTCAAATGTTAGGCCCTTTTACTTGAAGCTGATATTTCACACCCAGTCTCGCTTAATAAGAAAACCTGGCTACACAGCTGCAGTTTGGTTAAAAACAATCAAAAGATTTAGATTGAAAGTGATTTAGGATATCTCCTTCCTCTGACTCTTCATCAGGTCTTATACTGTAGCCTTCGTCATCCACCTCAGGAGAGTTCTGAAACACACATATATACTCTACGTAAGTATATCAAAAAGAAAATGCATCAATATGCTATGTCAAAATTTTCTGGGGTACCCCAAGGCTCTGTTTTGGGTCAACTCTTGTTTCTGCTGTACATACACCTCTTGGACAGAAAATTGATTCTTTTCATAATGTCTCTTATCACCTATATGCAGATGACATTCAGCTGTACTGTTCCTTTAAGGATTCTGAGTTCTATAAACTGTGTGAATTACTAGAGTGTCTATAAGCTGACACCAGCTAGTTAGAAGATAACTTCCTTCAGTTAAATTCTGAAAAGACTGAATGTCTGATCATTGCCCCTGAGAGCATGGTTCCCCTGATTAGTCTAAAACTTGGTCATTTATCCTCTGCCGTCAAGACAAATTTAAGGGATTTGGGTGTTAATTTTGACCAATCAATGTCTCCTGAAGGCCACTCAGAAAAATTGGTGCAAAACAGTTTTTTATCACTTAAGAAATATCTCCAAACTGCGAAAGTTGGTGTCAAAACATGAACTTGAAATGGTTATCCATGCCTTTATCTCCTCTCATCTAGATTACTGTAACACACTCTTCACATGCTTTAACAAAAAGGCCCTTGACCGCCTTTAGTTGGTCCAGAACTCTGCAGAGAGGCTCCTAACTGGAGCAAACAGAAGAGCACACATCACTCCTATTCTAAGGTCTATGCACTGGTTAACCATTAACTTTAGAGTTCATTTTAGGATCCTGATTATAACTTTCAGTGCTCTACATGGTCACGCTCCTCCCTATATTACTGAACTGTTAAAGCCTTAACCTGAGCCCTCAGGTCCACCGACCAGAACCTTCTAGAAGTTCCAAAGACCAGATACAAAAGTCGAGGTGATCAGTTAACCAGACTGTTGCACCCTGACTCTGGAATGATCTTCCTTTATCCTTACGTAGCATTGACAGTCTGGACACTTAAAAAAACAGCTAAAGACCCTTTTATTTAAAGCTGCTTTTAACTAAACCTTTTATTTTCTTATTTTTAACTCTAATTAGTAATCTTTCATCAGTTTATGAAATTTTATAACTGCATGACTTTATGTTTTCTGATGTTAATCTATTTCTGTTTTAGATCATTATGATTTTATGACTATGTTTTATTTTGTTTTGATCTATGTGAAGCACTTTGTGATTCTATGTCTTTGATAAGTGCTATATAAATAAAATATACTTATTACTTACATTTTCTGATTAAACAAAATGTCCACAAGAGCTTTAAAACATCTAGTATAAAATATCTGTTTTCTATGTGCAAGTAAAAACAGAAAGAGTTAAGTCAGAGTTTCAAACTTGAATACAGAATTTAACTTACATATCTGTCCCAGTCAATGTCTCCATAGAAGCCATTAGGGGCCCCATTCGTCCTCTTCTGAGACTGAGAAAACAGAGACGGTTTGATTAAAATCCCTCCAGACACTCAAGGAAAAGTATATTATGTAAGACCTCCACTATGGCGACAACACAGCAGGATTTTTGTTTCAGAAAGCTCTCTCCGTTAAACATCCATCCTGTAAACCCAGATTATATTATAAATTAAGGTCTGAACATTTTATTGTCCAATATTCCAATTTTGCAAACACTTATCATGACAAGAATTGAAATTATTTTATTTTCTTTTTAACTCCATATCTGTGTCTTGATGATGACCCCCCCCCCCAAACACACACACACACACACACACACACACACACACACACACACACACACACACACACACACACACACACACACACACACACACACACACACCCTTCAGACAGCTGAAACTGTGACTGCTGAGCTAAACAACAAAACTATGAGGTTTTAAGTCCAATCTAAATGCTACACACAACTAGCCTAGCTGCTAGTCTACTCTGAGCAGATCAGTACCGACTCAGCCTCCTGGACTTCCTGGCAGGCAAAAAGAACACAGATAATAATTAATTTACCTCCTTTTGGTAAGACTGTGTTACTTCCAAAAATAGGCTGCACATACTTACATCAAACAAATGTACAAATGACCAAACTCCTCTAATAAGATAGTTTACTTACACCGCTGTCTCTTTCCGGGGACCCTCTGTGAGAAATAGAGAGAGAAGGGAAAAAACATGAAAATTCACTACTGAAATTAGTCAAGAGGACATTTTTAAAAAGCTCCCCACAAGAGTCACACACAAGGTTTTAAAAGTGTTAAATAAAACACAATCTTTCATTTGTGTCATCTGCCCCAGACAGGCAAATGAGGGCCATACTATTTTTGTCTGTGCCTGTCTGTTAGCAAGATACCACATAAATGACTGGGTTAGGGTTAGATTTTCATAAAAGCATACTTTAGTTTTATAAATTGTGAACTTTTAAAGTTAACCTAAATCAATATGGCCGACAGAATTAATGCACCTCAGCAAACACAGATATAGGTCAGTACGTTTTACAGAAACTGAGCTACGAGCTGATGGCGTTGTCTCCAACATGTTCTCTTTACTTCAGATTTTGCCCTTACATCAACCAACTGCTGTTGGTGTCAGCCCTGAACGTCTGTTAGCAGAATCTCTCACGAAACACTGGATGCAAATCCAAAGGCTGACAGAACCCATAGTCTTGAAACGTTGCTTGCAATCACACACAATCTTATTTTGACCTATTTGACCAAAACATATATAATGCCATAATTCATCAACAAGGGGGTGTTATACACATTCCCTCAAGGAATGCTAGACCGTTAACCCCTTCATTCCTAAAATCTGAGAATACAAATAGCAAAAATGTAGTTTTGAAATGAAACAATTTCCTGGCTAGTTTGACTTTATTGATGTAATTCTATAACAATATAATAGTCTAAAAATCAATTCCGGGCCTGGAGGGCCGGTATCCAGCACGTTTTAGTTTTAACTCTGCTTCAACACACCTGATTTTAATCAGCAGGTAATTAGCAGGCTTCTGCAGAGCTTGATGAGCTGCTGCACGGGTGATTCAACCACTGAGTCAAGTGTTGGAGCAGAGAAACCACTAAAACATGCTGGATATCGGCCCTCCAGGACCAGAACCGAATACCCTTGATCTAAAGGCTCAGGGACTCATGATTCATGGACTCATTAGCTGATTAGACTGTTACCCCAACCCTAACCCAAATATTCAACCTTTTCACAATATTCTATTTGTCTCAGATTTTGAATTTGGGATTTTCATAAGCTATAAGCCATAATCCTCATAGTTATAACAAATAAAGGCTCAAACATCTGGCTTTGCATGTAAGGAGTCTATCCCATATATTAGTTTCACCTTTGAAGTTGAATTACTGAAATAAATAAACTTGTATACCTTATTCTAATTTTTCAAATTTCATATGTATAGAAATAAAATTGGCCCTTGCCACGTGAAAATATTCCACTAGAGGGCAGTAGACGAGTACAGGACTGGAAATGGCAGGTTTTAAATACTTCATGGATGCCAGAAGGGGTTTAATGTGAAGTTAGGACGATATTTCACAAAGAATAACATTTTTTGATTAATGAAATTATTATTTTCTAAAATAAACCAAAAACTTGCACTATTTAACCTTCCAACCTGCTCATTTTGGACAACACGGGAAACGGCAAAGCAATGAGAAGACTTACGCGGAGTCATTGTCCTTCTCTTTCTTCCGTAACCCAAGGGCCTTCCTGGTACGTTTTTTCAATCCTGGGAAAACAGAGGAGGAAACACTCACAAAGAGAAAGCAAAGGCTAGGCTGAAAGGTGGTTTCAGTGGGTGGTTAAAGGCCCGTTGGGGTCAGCTGTACATCTTTCATCCCAGGCATCAAAGGCAACATTTTCATGCATTATCGAGTGACTGTCAGCACAGACCTAAAAACACACACAGTGTAAACTATAAATGTGTTCATGGTCATCCCGGATGAAAGTACGACCCTGCAGTCATCAAGGAAACCTTTTTGAACGGAAACTTCATTAGCTCTGTGAAAATCGATGAGCAGCAGTTTAACCGGGGCAGCTGCTGAGCGCAGACGGAGGAAGCTACTGTAGGTCAGACACAAAACTCAATATTATTGTACACAATACAGCACAAGACTGCTAATGCACTGATTTGACTGAAAAAAAACTGAACTAATGTTGGGGAAAAATACTGAGATGCTGAGGTAAACAGCATGCTAACGCTAATGAGAGTTGTTAAATGAGTCTGAAGCCTATTCAGGTTGGAAACATAAATTAATATTTTAAAATTTACATGTGTTCTATTGATTTCTTTTAAATCAAAATGGATTAATCTAACTGTATAAGTAATAAGTAAATTTGATTTATATAGCACTTATCACAGACATAGAATCCCAAAGTGCTTCACATAGATAAAAAATAAAAATAAAACATAAAGTCATAAAATCATAATGATCTCAAAACAGAAATAGATTAACATCAGAAAAAAGTCATCAAATGATAAAATTTCATAAACGGATGAAAGATAAGTACGAATTTGAGTTAAAAATAAGAAAACAAATGATTTATGTAAAAGCAGCTTTAAATAAAAGCTTCACCTGTTTTTAAAAGTGTCCATCAATGTCTTTTATTTCCCCTGACTGTAATGAAGCATGAAAAGAGCTTCTTTTTTCTTGTTCCTCATAAAAAGGCAATTCATTTCTGCTTTATACCGGCCCTCTATGGCATCTCACGTTTAACCTCAATCTCCTGTAAATGTTACACTAATCTCAAACACTTCCATTTCCTCCTTACCCAGAATAAAACCCCAGTTGTCCCCCTCCATTTCTTCTCTGACGATTCCTTCACTCTCATTCTCCCTCGTCTCTGTCTTGCTCTGAACTCATCATTACAAAACCTAGCTACTGACCTCTTCCTCATACCACTTGCAGATACACGCCGTTCCTCAGATGAGGAACTTGATGCTGCCTCTGGTTTAAACGACACACCGATGCAGATCAGGTATCCTGTCCTTGATCCATGTCGCTCTAGAATTCAACACCAGTAACTGCACTTATGAGTCAAAGACTGAAGCAGTTGTTGAAAATTATAATCTTTGTCTGAAAGCGCCCCATGAACCCAGAAAGAAAACCACCAAAACAGGAAATGAAACAAGGGAAGTAGCTTCAACACGAGAGGACACAGTTATCTGCATCTTACGGTTTTACAGTCAGAGCTCCAGTAAACATCCTGCCATGAGGGACGCAAACGAAAGCTTACAGGATGCAGGCAGCAGCTGTAACAGGGAAAAGTCTCTGCATTCAGTGACATGAACACAGAGCCACACCCTGATCAATATTCATGAAAACAGGCCTCCACAGCATTTCACAGCTGCACTCGCGTCTGCAAGAATTCAGTCATTCGTTGGATTAAAAAGAGCAACAATGGATTCAAATCTAATAAATACAACAGAAGCAAAAAAACAAGGTCAACACGTAATTATTTGTAACTTATAAAACTAAAAATAAAGAATCAAAACAATTCTGCGCGAAGGAAAAGACGCAGTAAGAAGAGTAATCTCATGATATATGCTCCTTATTACTGTTACAAACACATTCTTTCTAATTAGTTTTCTTTTACAATACTTACAAATGAAAAATGTATCCCAAAACATTCTACAATCCATATTTATTGTATTTCCAAATCTTTACATTAAAGGATTTTAGTTTAATGTTTCCCTATTTTCAAAATACAAGTTCTATAAATTGTAATTTTGGAACAAATTCAATATTGTAATTTACATTTTTTCTCGAATGCCTTGATGCTTTTGGATTTCTTTGTGACGTGGTTTCCACAAATGAATTCTTGTCACCGAGATGGTCCCCTCCTGTTACGGCTACCAGCCTGGCCATTGGGATGCAGGAGCCAGGATCACCCAGCCCTGGTGATCAGCCCGACATCGCCCCTCCTCATCCTCTCTTCCAGGCTGCTGAGGAGCACAGCTGAGCAGAACCCTCCTGATGACACACACCTGGGATAAAAAGGCGGTGCCTTCAGCAGTCTGGGAGGCAGCAGTGCAGGGGTTCTGCTGTCCTCCAGGTCTCATTTTGGTTTCAACCCTTTCATTTGTGATGAGTTTTAACTCTGAGTTGAGAAGTTTTAAAGGGAAAAACTCTGAGTGATCCACATGGATCTTTGGCTGATGTCAACTTAGTTGACTCTGTTTTAAGGTTAACTCGGTTTTAGTTTTTAGACTTTTATCAACTTTGTTGTGTTTTTAAAACACCTTTGGTTTAGGTAAAACATTTAATAAAGTTTTAACCAGGTGTTTTATATAGTTGATGAGTTGTCTTTTAACTGTTAACCTTATAGTGAATTTTTCGTTTTGCATAATTTTAATAATGCTCGCCATCTGTTTGCACTTGTTTTTAGAAACTTTTATAACAATTAAACCCATTTTAACTCCACTATCGCATTTCTTATGTTGCCCCCTCCTTCACATTTTAACACCTCCTGTCGGGGACGTAACCCCTCCATTACTTCCACATCCAGACATCTTTAACCAAAAAGGTAATGGTTGCTGTATTTGGCTTCTAGTTCTAATAAAATAAAAATCTTCACCATTTTGACAGTTTTTATTCAGATGTCTGAATTTGAATGTTTTAAATTTAAAAATGCTTAAAAGTTTTCAGGAAACTGTGTCAACCCTTAAATAAGACTTGGTATTCTATTATTGTAATGTGTGTTTTAGTTTGAACTTGGTGATGTAATACTAACTGAAATAGTCATGGTCAAACATAACATATAAATTACCTCTCATGGCAAGTTTTTCATTGATCTTTCAGTTTTTTGATGACGTGAACATTTTTGCTTTTTCATCGTTTCCTCAAAAGGGCAAAATAAAAGCCTTCAAGACTTTTTCGAACATTTTTAATCAGTTTTCTGTTTTTTGCTCCTTTCTCCTTTCCAATAAATCCACTTTGGCTCCAAATAAAAGCCGACAGATTTACAGCAGTGCGAGGGAAAGCATTCAGTAGCATACAGATGGCAGCTTCACACCGCATGCATTTAAAAGAACACACCAAGAAAGGAAAGTTAAGCATGCATGAGCTGCAGCAGAGAAGAAAAATTAAAGATACATGCTTGAGACGCGTATGAGGTGAAGTTTAAAAAGGACTCCCAATCAGAGGAATGCTAATTCAAGTGCTGGCATAATTAGTGGTGTATCCTCAAGACACAGCAATTCCAGGAAACGCCAAAAAGTTTTAATCCAAACAAGAGAAAAGTTCCCAAACCTAAAATAAATTAGGCCAACAAATTATTTCAAAAACTCTCAACTGTTCAGAGGATTTGCACAAAAAAAAGCTCATAAGAATTCCTCTCCAAGCATTGTTTAATAGTTTTAACGCTCACCTGTTCTCTAAGAAAATGCGTAACTCAGTCTGGATTTTCCAATATGTGAAAACAAACTCACAGCGGGAGGAACGTCACTCAGAGCAGAAGCAAATGTGTTATTATAATGTTGTTCCACCCTTCAGCCTACAGGAACTAGTTTTTACAAACACAAACAACATTAAAACACTACAATTGTGTCATTGTCGCTATTACATTTAGCTTATGTGTAAATGGCATAACAAATAACAGCTTAATATTTAAAAATGAGCAAAAATAAACTTTAAAATAGAAACAGATTATCCATATTTATCTTTAAAACTCTGACAAAGGCGGAAGTTCTGGCTGAAACATGTCAGCCGAAGGTAAAGAAGCATCTATTTACTTCACTGTGTTAAATAAGAGAAAAGAAGATAATTAAGTAACAGATTAAGTTTTGTCAGAAAATAAAGTCTAAATCTTTGTTGTACCTGTTTAAGGTCTGCATCAGTTAAATGGTAAATGGCCTGCATTTGATATAGGGACTTCTAGAGTCCTGGAACCCCCCAAGGCGCTTTAAAACACTATCAGTCTTTCACCCATTCACACACACATTCACACCCTGATGGGGATGAGCCACAATGTAGCCACAGCTGCCCTGAGGTGCACTGACAGAGGCGAGGCAGCCGAGCACTGGCGCCACTGGTCCCTCCAGCCACCACCAGCGGGCAAGGAGTGGTTAAGTGTCTTGCCCAAAGACACAACGACAGCGACAAACTGAGCGGGGCTCGAACCTGCAACCTTCCGATTACGAGGAGATCATTTAACTCCTGTGCCACCATCGCCCCAGTTACTTTTTTCTTTTCATTTCACAGTTGGATTTTAAGTAATTGATTATTTTGGTTAATTATCAGTAAAAATTGATCAAGTAAATAGCTTTCATTTGATTTGTATTAAAGGGGCATATCATGCCTTTTTTCTTAAGTTAGAATAGTTTTATGGTAGAAAAAAACATGTTCATGAAGTTCTTTGCACTAAATCCGTCTCACTGAACAATTTCAGCAGTTTTATTATCGGCCATTTCAGTATCTTCCAGAATGAGCCATCTCAGTGTTCTATCATTTTAAGAAAACAAGCTGTTGCTGGCCACGCCCACCCATCCCCCGCTCAGGCTGCTATAAGCTAACAAGCTCAGATATCAGGGAGGGGCTTGGAGTAGGGTTGCTGCTCCTCCAGCAGCATCTCTTTGTTGCGCATGAGAGGTGGTTTTATTCTTCTACTACAGGGGTGGGGAACCCTGGTCCATAGGGCCGCTTTCCAGCATATTTTAATTTCAACCCTGCTTCAATACACCTGGTTTCAATCAGCAGTAGTACCTGATTTTTTGTCATGGGCTGCAAA